CTTTGGATTTTCTGTAAGAAATTGTTTTGATTAATAGTAAAAATGTTCATCTAAACTCCAAAAAGAGATGCTCCTGCCTTCCATCACACTTCCTGCACTGCAAAAACAGAGGGCTCAGAATGAGTCAACCGTGGGCAAGCACTCCTGATGTTTTCTGCCAGTTTAGAGGTTGCAAAATACAGACTGGGTATTGCTGAAACTAGTCTTACCTCAGACACAAAAGGAGAAAGGACACTACACATCTGAGTATTTTTTAGTTGCTGGATAGGCCAGCTTATCCTGGTGCAATGCAAGCTCTGAAAGAACAGCTTCATGCACGTATTCATACCAGCTTAAAGACAGCTATGTGTTCTAAAAACAGTATTGGAGCTAGAAAATAAAAGTGTCTTTTGCATGCAGAAGTCACACAGATCAGAAAAAACAGAGAAGGATCTGCGATTTCTTCAAGTTTTTACAAAGTTTCAACATGAACTTGAAAACCTGAGTGCAGACAGCACTAATTATATTAACCCAGTAACAGCAATTCTGAAGCCAACAGGTGACACTCGTGGCTTGCAGTGCACCAAACATATTCACCTTGCTGCAAGGAAATGCAGACTAACTACAGAAAATAGTTCCATTTATTCTTATCCAAGTTTGGTAGTATATTCTTCATAGGTTTAAAAAAGAAAGGTAAGCTGTCCCACAAGACCAAGTACACAGTCATCCGTAACCAGACATCAAGAAATCGGTCCAACATACCTGTTATCTGCCATCTGTGTGCCTGTATCCACCTGTAAATTGAAATACAGAGTTCAGAAATTATTTAATAGAACCCTTTTTCTTATTTACCTCAACACAGAAGGTAAGAATTACAACAGGGCAATGTTTAAGACCTCAAGATAGATCAGCTCCTGCTAGTTCTGCTAGGAAAGTCATCACGCATGAACTCATGCAGTGAAGTGAACAGCTTCCATAATATCCAATCTAAATGATCCGGTTTGTTAAACAATACATTAAGTGCTTTCATCCCACCCTTTCAAACATTTTTTTTATTCTGTTAAATATGAACTGGAAGAAACATTACAAATGGAAATAACTCTAAAAACAGATGGCACAGTTTCCTGAGCTGCTCTGCATTCTTTTTTAAAAATAAAAACCCAAAGAGGAAGAAATGAGCATATTATTTTCTAATTCCTTGACAGTATCACAGCAAGTAATGAATTTATCTGTGTTAGAATGTTTGATCTGAAAATGATGAAAGTTCAAATGAATTACAGCATCAGAAAGACTTTTTTCTCATGTCACTTGAGCAGAAAAATGCCTGTCTAATCAAAACTATTTGTGCACAGTTGCTTCTGCTGTGATATACAGAATGACAACATTAAGTAAGGAGAAGCAAAATACTGAAGAAGTTATTTACACATAAGAGTGTTTTGGTTCTTTTTTTTTTGACAGCAGTTAAAAGGAAAAAAATCCCCTACTTCAGGATTTGCCTTGAATGCATATGAGAAAACAAAAAACCACCATGGAAATTGACACCTTGGTATTTGCAGAGGCTGAAATCAAGTTTAACACAGCTACCCCAGCCCCCAAGATCCAAATGAGCCCTGCTGAGACACCAGGGCCACACTACCTAAATTATTTTGCTGTTCTTTTTTTTGTTTGTTTGTTTGTTTTTTACCAGGCTGTCATACACTGCAGGAGATCTACTTTTGGTTTACACTTCTCCCCGTTCCTTCCCTCCTCCCCACCTCCCCTTCTCCAATTCTAAGCATAGTTTGTCACAAATCCCAGTAATCACTACAGTCTGTACAGCTGATTTTACACTATCAAGTTTTCAAGAAAGCAGATGTGGGTCAGGTTTAACAATAAAAAGAATTTTTCATTGTTCTTAGGAGTAAATTTACCTCTTAGGAGGTCTGATTTCTTGTCTATATGCCCAAGCAGGCTGATCTTTAGCCAAGCTTCTAAAAGCCTGCTACACCACAGAACACAAGCATTAATGGCAATGGAGCAGCAGTTAGAAGGACCTGAGAATGCACACTCCTCCACCTGGAAAATGCTAAGTCCTTCTTTAGATGAGAAAAGTAACACTTTCACAAGCACTTATATTGAACTGAAAAGTATATTCTCTGTAGATTATAAGTATTCTTTTGACTACTCCATAAAGAAGCTGCCTCATATACGTACCAAAAACTCCCCTGTCCATATCCCATAGATTAAGTCCAGGAACAGACAAAGGGCCTTTCTCTCCTTAACTAGGTCTGAGTCAGCAACCCACACACGTGTTTTGGCAACACCTATTCTTGCCCTAAACATAACAAGAGAAAGTGACAACACAAGCAATCATCTTGTGGAGCAAAGTGAAAAAACTCAGCTATCTTACAGCTGAAGAAATAAAGGAGCACACATGAATCTTTCCTTCCACAGCATACAGAAGGAAGGAAAAAAAAAAAAGATCAAAAAGGTAAGAGAGCAAATTGACCTAATACCAGAGTTCAGCCAACAAGATACATGATCCTGGTCACTATTAGAGGCAGCAATAGTAAGCAACTAAAAATGCAGACTCACATTACTTAGAAATTAGCCTTAAAGACTCTTCTCTTCCAACCCAGGACCAGTCACAGGCCCAATGGAAAAAAATAATTCCACGCACAAATGTTCTCCTCTGTTATTTGTGCTGTTTTTCTTGCAAGGAAAAATTTCTCACCCCTGATGAGGAAAAACAGAATTCTCACTCCTTCATCATTCATGTTTGGAAGACGTGGGATGAAGGTTCTGCAATACAGATAACTTTTACATTGCAGTTGACTTAAACTCCATGGGAAGACATCAATTAGGCACATTCTGACAAAGGCCACTCACGTAAGTAACAAGAAACGAAAATTGATAAGACACCATTTGCTGATACAAATACATACTTTAAGTCCGGTCTGCCTCTTCAAAGCTTTTTTTTCAGTCCTGAAAAACAAACAAACAAAAAAGTAAATGAATAAAAAATTAAAAGCTTTCCCCAAACAGCCTGTAATTCCCAGTAGCATTACAGCTGCCCACCAATGACTTAGCAGCTGCAGAATTTCTAATAGAACTGTTCAGTAAAAGCTGGCAGGAGCAGGGAAGGACAAAGCAAGGTGATTTCAGATAAAACATGAGATGCACATCCCACTGAAAAAGCACAGACACAAAGCACTGAGCCTTCACTTTTTTTTTTCCCCTCAATCACAGTGTGTAAACAATGAAGAAAAAAATAATAGCACTACTGAACTCTTAAAAAAGAACATTGTATTATTGTAACCATTATCACCACCAATTAAGAGGCCAAATCCATACTTCTGGACAGTGAACCATTTTCAAGTAACTAACACAGATGCAGAGCTTAGGGGAAGGAGGAGCCTACAGCAACCACCTGTCTCACAACAGACGCTGCTGCAATTTGTCTACAACAAATGTCACACAGCACCAGTCAAAGCAGGAAACAGTCATACATAGGATACATCTCCAACAGTCCAAGATAGTGAAAGTTCATCTTAAGGACAAGTGACACCTCGAAGAAGGCAGCTTTAATGGCAAGAGACCCTGAAAACATACAGAGAATAAATTTTCTCCACTAAGAAGCCTATGTCTCATTGCAAAAGCCATTCTAAGCACAGCTAGAACATAAAGCAAGGAACTAATGGGCTCCTGAACTTACAGGAAGCTTTCCACCCACAAACATTACTGCTTTTGTATCTACAACAAATCAGAAGGGAAAGCTATGACTTCCGTTTAAGACCTGCTGGGAAGCAGCTCTGCATGCAGCCGCAAACATAACGCTCTGATGCTTCTAAATGAGAAGCAACCATGAAAAAAAAAAAAATCACTTGCTGACCAGATCCACGAGCCCTGAACATTAGCAGTACTCCAGCTCATCCTGAAAGTCGTATGAGGGAATATTATTTTAAAGATGACTTAAAAAAAAAAAACATATTTCCTAGGGGCTTTGATTTCACTGCAGAATTTACATACTTGCTTCTCTACCTTCCTACCTGTAGAGATAAGTTACAGAACGTAACAGACAAATCCGACCTATGACGTTATTACATGTGGTAAACACCCGCTGGAGCAGCAAAAACGTGAAACGTGGACAACAGGGGCCTTCAAAGGGCAAAGCAAACCCCCAGAGCAGGCTGAGGAGGCAGCAGATCACGGCCGAGGTCAAACGGCAGAGCCGCGCCCGACTGAAGCGCCGCAGGCTCTGATTGGAGCCGAGCGCTGCGGGCCGAGAGCCGCAACAGCCGCTTGCGAGGCACACGGCCTCTCGCCTGCTTCCTCCCCCACTCCCCGGGGAGGGCGGGGGAAGGCCGGGCCCGCCGCCAGGCAACGCGGAGCGGACGAGCGCGGTCATCTGCGCGGCCATGGCTTCCGCAACCCTCGCGGCGACCCCGACCCTCGCCGCAAACTTCCCCAGGCAGCCTTAAAATGGTGCCTGAGCGGCCCGGGCCCGCCCCTCCCCGCCAGGCGGCCGCCACCGCCGCCCGAGCCCCACCCCGCGGCGGGCCCTAACGGCCACCCCACGCGCAGCCCGCCCCCGCGCCGTGCTCACGGCGGCCGGCTCGCGCCCGCCGCTCGCCCCGCCGGCCGGCCGCTCGAATGCCGGAGCCGCGCGCGCCTCCTCACCTGCTCGCGCCGCGTCCCCCCCCGACAGCACCGGACTCCTCTGAAGCTCACTCGGGCTGCACCGCCGCCAAGAAAGCCGCCTCTCATTGGCCAAAGTGTGGGAGCCTCCCTCAGTAAAATCGCCGCCGATTGGAGCTGGCGACAGCAGCACGGCCGCCGCACCGCACGCGGGACATGTTGACTATCCGACGGAGCGGCGCTCGGCCAATCAGCGGGAAAGCGCGGAGGCGGAGGGGGGGGAGGGCGGCGCGCGCTGGCAGAGGCGTGCGCGGGGCTGGCGGCGCGCGGGGCGAGCGCGTGATGGCGGAGGGGGGGGTGGGGGGGGGTCGTGGTTGTAACCTTAAAGCGGCAGCGAGCGCGTGCGGAGGAGGAGGAGGGGGGGACAAGATGGCGGCGGGCATCGCCTGCGGGCCGGCGGGAAAAGGCCCTCCGCGGGGTCCTGCTCTTGAAGGAGGGCCTGGTGCGCCGCTCTGGCGTCCTCTCAGCGCCTCGAGCTGCGGTTGCACAGTTCCATTATAAGTATTAGTAATGGGCTCATGGTGTAAAAACCTTTCTGCGTGTTATCAGATTTTGGAGTTAGAAGTTAGGTGAATCAAAACGCGGAGTGCTTCCTAATAATTAAGTTTAGTATGTCTTGGTAAAAATGAATTTGATCTCTTTGGGACTGATAATTAAACCTTGAAGCAGGCCGGAGTGCTAGAAATCTTTCGTGTGTTTGTACATCACCTTCCATCAGGGCCACAAAGCATCCATCTCCTGTGAGCAGGGCTTTGTGCTGACTGCTGTGCCTTGGTGGTAGGCACTAAGAAGTCTGTGGGTGAGGCACAATCTGTGGAGTCATCTTGCTGTCTGTCAGGTGCTCCTGCCCTGCAGAGAGCTGCAAAAAGATATTTGCTGAATCACCCTGGCTTAATTTAACACGCAGTCTAGCATAAGGAGAGCTTGGAGAACCTACACTGAGCACTACAATGTCAGCCTCTCCTGCCCTTGGGTGGGAATTAATGGAAACTGCTTTTGCTTAGTGACGTTCACAACCCAATTGGAGAGATAAGGCTAAGTTTGTCAACCATTTTTTAGGAAGAGCTTTGATCGCTGTCAAGTGAAGCCTTAATAATAGCTAATGTGCCTCTTAATTAATTTGTCTCAAGGGATGAGTACTATGCATGTGGTACTGGGATCCTGCATAGAAATTGCCCTGTGAAATCACTAAGAGGAGTAAAAATTCCGCATCTGTGTAGTCGGAATTTCTCAATCAAAGTAAGAAATAAAGTTGGTCTGAAGCCACCCTGAGATGTATAAGTATAGCTTAAAATGTAAGAAAAGAATCTGAAGGGATACATGCAGCAGAGATTTCCTTATTCACATGGTGATTTCCTGGAGCAGTGAAAAGCAAATACAAACATTAGGATAAAAAGATCAAAGAGAGAAACTTAAATATAATTAAGTTACACTTAAGGCACTCGTTAGTTTAAAGTTTTGGTAAAGACCAATGGCAACCAAACTAGATAGAAAAGTCAATGAATTGTTCCACCAGTATCTGAACAAACTGAGTGATGGAGGAACTTGTTCTTCTTAGTGCGGCAGTATTCACATTTGGCATTGATGTAAATATTCAAGATAGAAAGGCCAAAAAGCATATTGTGAGCAAAAGTCAGAAACAAATTTCCTGCTGCCAAGCTTGGCCTTTTGCCAAGAGTGCAATTAAAAACACCACCTTGCCTTGCCATCTCCGAATAAATTCTTTGACGTGTAGGGAATACAAAGCTCCGCACTGTGCAGACCAACATGGGCTGTATGTTCTAGAAAGTGCTTTAAAAAAAATATCCAAAACTTTGCTATTGGGATTTTTGTTTTCCCAGCACTTAGAAAAGAATATGCCGTATTGCTTCACCAAGTGTGTGGGTAGGCATACATGTACGCTTTAAAACAAAAAACCAAAATACCCTGGAATCTGTCCTTTCCCTTTCCTTGGCTGAGACAGGTGACCAGGACAATGAATGCAGACTATTCTGTTGCATTCTCCTGGTTGCCAAGTCACCCTCGCTAAGGAACTGCAATGGAATTTGCTTAAGTGACACCTTGACAGATTGCCAGGGAAAAGGAGTTGTGCTGTGCGTTTTAGCGATTGCATGGATCAGTCTGCACACCTATGCTGAAAAGGTTGTCTTAATGGGCACGTATCTTAGCCTGGAGGATTCTTTGTTTGCTAACAAGCTTTCCTTCAGCTTGCTGTTATTTCTCTCTATATTGTGGCTGCAGAGATAAAGTAACTGATATGGAATTTGATTTTTTGGTTGCAAATTCTTAAGTCTGTTTTTCTGACTCCGAGCCAAGGTCGTTGTGTTTATTATCTTGCTGCTTTTGGAGAAAGGAACTCTGTATTTGTGCAAAGCTCTCATTTTCTTTGGAGAGAATGAAGTCATCTCCTGTTTGTGTAGTAAGATAAAATATTTTAGCAGCTTCTTTACAGAACAAGTTGCCAATTTGTGTGATTTTTTTTTTTCTTGAAAAATAGAAAATCTCTATGAAGCAGATATTTTCCTTGCTGATAATGCTGACTTTCCAAGGGCAGCTGAAACATAGAAGAAAGAGAAAAAATCCTAAAGGGACCAAAGATTTGTGTATGGGAAGAAGAGTTTGAGTATTTGAAGATTTTGAGGGCTTTACTGAAAAGAAAAAGGCAATTTTGAAAAGAACTAGATGGCAAAACACTACACAAAGCAGGGAGGGCAAGCAGCTATGTGGAAGAACAAGCAAACTGAAGGTGAAGGAAACTGAAGGTGAGCCCAAAGAGGAGAGGATTTCAAAGTCTCTGATTCTTGTAATATCTGTGAGAAGAATCCCATTGATTTTAAGAGACTTGATTTTGTACAGAGATGATTCCAAGACAGGAATGCTGTTTCTCCTGTGCCAGAAAATAAGGATGACTTCAGCAGCACTGATATTTCAGATAAACTGAGGGGACTGGAAAGAATCTTTAAGACAACAATAAAAAATCAGAACACAAGAAACACATAAGCTAAATACTGTTACAGTCAGAGTAAAATCTTAATGAGGCAATAAATGCAGCAGAGACCCTTATTTGAGCCGTGGGGACATGAGTAACTGTGGATTAAAAAAATCCAGGAAGGAAGCACTGCGTGCACGTGGGAAGAAAGAAAACAGAATTCTCAGAAAATACTGAGTCTGAAGTACTCCTAAGTGCAAGGAGGTGACCCAGAAACAAAGTGAAGCAACTGTGAAGGAAAAACAGCATTTAAAATGAATTCTTCTACATTGATGTAGCAGATGAATCATGGAATTGGATGAGATCCTACTATGAACACAGCAGGTAGAGAAAAAAACAGTGAGGGTGGAGGCTGGGATGGTAATAGAGACATCTTAAGAGAGTTAGAGTTCATGGCAGCAATGGATTAATGAATTTCCTCTGTGGTCATGTGCTAGGTAGCTTTGATTGTGCTTCTGATGAGCGAGTGCTAACTCCAGTCACCAGAAAGGAATCTCTGTAAGCAAATTACTGCTACCATTTCACACTGAGTAGCAACATTTCCTGCATTCAGGAAGGCAGCAAAGTGTTCACTGTGGTTTGAGATGATTCAGGGTTAACGCTCCTACTCTAGTTTACAGAAGTAGCCCTGGAATCTGTCTAGGGCTATAAGGAGCTTGAAATCAGAGAAACCTGTACAGCCAAACAGCAGCATCTTGTGCCTGCAAGCCCAGGCACAATCCATCTCTTTATGGATATCCTCAGTGCACAGACACAGGGAGGAAGACAAGGCAGTGCACAAACCAGACCTTACCTTACAAAAATACAGTGGAGCTTGACAAGAAATGGCCTGAAAATATCGGAGGGTTTAAAATGATGTAAAATTCAACTGATCCTCTTTTGTTCACAGAATGAAAGAATGGAGAAATTGCCCTTGTGGCTCTGGCTGGCCTTTTAAATGACCACTTTAACCATGCATTTATACAATTAATTTGGAATTAGCAGAATACTGAATGCAAAATGTTTTTTTAATCAACTTAGTAACATCATGCTAAAGGAAAACATTTGTGAACCATATTTTAAGGAGATGGCTATTAAATAAAGATAAGCTGTGTTTGTTTTTTTCCCCACTAAACAATGGTCACATACAACTTGTACTTTATAACAGATTTTATTTTCTGTGTACAAGATTCCTGTGCTTTACTGAATTCAACATTAGGTATTTTTTCAAAGGCAAATACAGATAAACCAGAAAAAAAACCAACAAAACTATTAGGCCTTTTTGTTAGTCCAAATATGCTCACCTTGATATCTCAGAAGGTATATATTAAGATAAAGCAAGTATATTTATAACTTTTAATTGAGAAAAGGGACATAGCCTAGTGCTGTGTCCAATGCAGGTATATTTGCCTTGTACTTACCCACTTGTCTGCAATTGCAGGTTAAACAAAGATGATGATCTGTTCCCTTTTGCAACAAAGAGACTGTTAGCTTCTACTGTGCAAAGTGTTCTGGGTATACCTATCTATTATGAAGGTTTTTAATAACAGCAGCTGAAGTATCATAGTGGAAACCCAGTTTTTCCTGCTTATGTAAACTCACTAAAATCATCTGGAAAATACTTTCTTAGCGTGGGACAAATTGCTCAGCTTCCATTTAGTAGTAAGTTTTGCTGACTGTGACATATTTGAGAACATAAGCTACAAGTGGGTATTAAAGATAGGTTTGCAGGACAAATTAACCAAACTCTGGACACTCATAATAAGCAAGAATCCCCATGTGGATTTGCTGACTGAGCAGCACCTTCTCAAACAGGGCTGGCATCTGTTTAACCTGTTGCTACTGTTGTGAGGAAACTTCTTAGAGGATTTTTCTGTTTTTTTTTAATTAATGGATATTTATTGGCTTTCCAGATGACATTGCTAGTCTTCATAAACAGGTTGTTTACTTTGCACATAATAGAAAGTGTAAACAGAAATACGAGCATCAGTATATGCTCACTTCTTCAATGGTGATGCAACTCCTGCCTTCTAAAACAAAGTCCCGTTGTTGTCAATTTGCACTTCCATTCTGCACCATTTGTAGATATTCCTTGTATAGTTTTTCTTGGGTCTCATAAAGTTTCTTTAGCTTCTTAATTTGTCCTTTGCTGAGTTCTTTGCCTTCTGTATCATGCGTGGGAAATCCCTAAAATATTAATAAAAAAAAAGAATATTTTGGATGAATTTTGGACTGCTTTTGTTCCTTAGAGAATTCTGTTCTCTTTTTGTCAGACGTAGGAGGATAATGTCAATTAATGACAAACTGTCAGAATGAGGTGCATTTTGGTTAATTTAGTCTACTTGTGTATGTTACTTGAATATGTTTCAAGTTAATGAAGGGACAGAGGGTGACGTTTGTTTTCTGGTCTCTACTAAGTAAGGGAAGCATAATTTCTAGATATTTATAGTTAAGAGAGTAATAGCTCACCTATAAACAGATGGTAAAAAGACCACTTTTAATGATACTAGTATATCAATCCCAAGGCTTAAAACAAAAGTCCTAAGAGTTTTCCGTACTTGATGGAGAAAATGCATTCAGTTTTTACAAATCTTCTGCCAGGCTTATGTGCATATTTTCCTGTGCTTTCATTCTTTATTCTTACTTATCCCGAGGGCCTGAGTTTGAATGGGTGAAAAGGACGGGCAGAAATAGGATCAAACACTGAAGAAACAGTGCTTTGTTTTCCAAATAATGGCTTTTATTCTCACAGGAGCAACCAGAGCCAAGTGACCAGTACAGCTCCTTATCACAGGATGGAGGAGGGGAGCAGAATAGTGTCTGTTTCCATCAGTTGGGATGGATGGTGAGTTTGTACCAGTGTAGTCCTTGCCTCGAAACAAGGTGACAGATCTGTAAACTAATGCATGTTCCTAGGCACAGATCTGCAGAGTGTTGCTTTGTAATGGAAGGGCCAAAGGGGATCCACGTGCAATGAAAAAACCCATGAGATGGTTAACAGTTTGACAGTATTGCTCCACAGTGCAAGGTATGTGCAAGACAATTAATACGTTGCTTTCTTTTTCTCTCCTTCCCTCCCTCTCCTACATTAATAACGCTGCCCTTGCGGTTTTGGAACAAGATCAGCTTTGTAGACATATAATCAAATATGTATGGAGGGGGAAGGAAAACCACTCCGTGTTTAAAGATAAGTTTCTTACATTTTCATCAAACTTGGAATATTTGTCATGTTCCGATTTAAACATTTCATGGGGTGGAATCTTCATTTTTGCCAGTTTTGCTGCCTGTAATACAAAGCATGATTAACTGCATTAGCATCATAAATAATTACTGACAACCTATCTTTTTAAAAAGCCATTCCTGAACACGTGCAAATGGAAAAGTAGATCATAATTTGCAAATCAAAGAACATTTAATTCACAATTGTTTATTCTGAGAAAAGCAACTTTCAGTGAGGAACAACTCAATAAATCTTAGCTGTGTTTGTCCAGGAAAATAAAAATAAGCTGATATCTTACATTTGCAGAGAACTACTTTATAAAATGGTTGTATTGCAGGAACCTGAAACAACTCTAAACATGCTCTAAAAACGACATCTGTTTTCTGCTTATTTGGTTCCTTAGTGTTTTAAGTGTAAACATAAAATAAATATTGCTATTTGTAAAGAATGTTTAGCAAGGATCTCCTGCAAAGGGAACCTTTATCAACAGTTTCCTGCTGGCAAGAAGATGTTTCTAAGCAGGTCACAGCAGGATCAGGATGCAAGTAATTGCACTGAAAATAAAAGCAAATTCTATTATTTGTGAATTAACACATCTCAGACATCTTTCCAACTAATTTACACCAATGCAAGAGAATCAATTCTCCAAAAGAATGAAATGAGTTGCTTGGAATTTGTGGTCAATAAACGCTATTTGATTTTTTACTTTTTTCTGACAGTGGTGCCCTTTAAAAGTTTACTTCCTCTTTTAACCAGAAATGTTTTTCCTGCACTGTCATCAGTACAGCAAACAATCTTTTCCTCTTACAAGTTCACCTATGCTGAACTCCTCACCTGAATTTTAAAACTTCAGAGCTATCAGTATTAAATGCGCTTTTACAAAATGCTACATCTCAGACACAGTTCAGGCACAGACTGCAGGGAGACACTTGAAAAAATGCCTGTTTTCATATATGCCAGTGACAATGGAAAGAGAAAAAGCATAAGCAAAACATTCTCTAACAGAAATGTAAGGTACTGCTTTGGTAATTAAGGAAGTAATACTGTCTACAGACTGAAATACATGCTATAAGGTGTGAGAAATTTCTGCAGTCTTCAGTCTTGTTTTCAAAGATGGCTGCTCTATCAAAGGAGCCATCAAGGAGATGAATATTCAAATATAAATTGCAAGCCATATCAATTTTGAGCAGGAAAGCATAGAAAAGTAAAGAAATGGAGGCCCAGTTAAGGCTGGGCAGAAAGCCTATGTTCTAATACAGTCTTTCTTGCATGTAACTATTGCTGTTGGAAGTCTTCTTCAAAACCAGATTCTTTTAATCTGAACACTTACTTCCTGCTCTTGTTTTTTTCTGGCTGCTTCTTCTTTCTTCCTTTTTTTCTCTTCTTCAATCTGTGAAAAGCAGTGTTAATGAGTAAAAGGTAACTGCTTCATTTGGTTGATTTCTATAAAATCTGAGCCAGCTAGCTCCCCTGGATATCTAATTACAGACAGATCTGGCAGCATAACCTACAGCAAAAACACTGTGCCTTGTAATTAGGATTGTCTGGTACTTCTCACTGTAGGACTTTGATTTCATTTGTTTTTAATCTCAGCTGAACTGGTTTTAACTGTTCAGAATGCATTTTGCATGTGAAGTGCATGCTTATGAAAAAAACACCTAATAAACCTGCAAAATAAACAGTCCTGCCATTTCACAGGGAAAACCATTTTGCAAATGACTTTTAAAAGACCACATTTCCTTGATATTTTAAGTTCTTGCATCAAACTGCTGTATCAATTAAAATTTACTCAGTGCATTTTGTTTCCATGTAGCAAATAAATACAGCCTGGTTCAATTGAATACGTCACCTTCATTTGTACAGATGAAAGAAGTCAGAATCAGTTTCTCATTGAAATGATTATTTCAGAGAGATAAGACAGCAGGAATGCAACTTTCAACATCCCTTAATTATACTAAGATTTATAAACAAACAAAAACCAAAATTTAGATACATCCATGCAGAATTCTCTAGCAGCTGCTGTTTTAAGAATCCTTTTCTTGATTCTTGAACTATGATTTCAGTATCCATTTTAGTATATAATTTTCTATGTCACTAGGCTTACAAATTATCAGGAAATGTAAAGGTACGCATAGTTTATATATTACTTTAAATGTAAAAAAGATACAGAATGCTTTAAATAATAACCTTTTTCTTTTCTTCTCTTTCTCTCAATAATGTGTCTTTATCCACTAGTTTAACCACAGTTGGAAGTCCTGAAGAAGCAAAAACAGATAAATGATTTTCCAATGCTTGAATAGTCAAAAATAAAAGTATTTACCCTGCAGTATCTTTTTTTTCAAGCTGAATGCAATTACAACTGAATGACTACTTAAAAATGACTAAGCAATTAGATACTATAGAAACAACATTGTGCTGTACATTTTTATTCTATGTATATTCTAAAATGCATTCATACAATATATCTACACATTAGAAATCCGTTAAGCTACCAGTTTGCAGTACTTGAGTATGCTGGATTATTCTATGCTAGTACTGACAGCTTGTTTCCCCACATCTTCAGAAAACAACAAAGTAAGAACAGCTATTACAAAGCTGCAAGACACTACATGGGGTACCTTCATGATCTTCAAATCGAACGCCAAGTTCAGGAAGGATGTCATCTCGAAGAGCATCGCTCAACTGCAGCACTTCAGTTACTGTGGAGTATGAAAAACACTTTTGCTGAACTGTGATTTGGTGGAAGTGCACATCTATCCTCATACATACTTATTTAACTGCAATTAAGAAATTGCCACTCTCTCACACAGGCCACAGAAGGGCCTTTTGTATTAAAGCAAGGAGTGTTTTAAAGTAATTTCTCTCTTCTTTTAGCTACAGAAAGCACGTTTCTGCAAGGACTCTGAATTCATAAATTCCTTCCAAGATACCCCTATTAGTCCTGAAAATTGTCATGAGAGTTTCAGTTCAGCACCATAAAAAAAATTTTAAAATGAATTTATACATCTGTGCTGTTAATTCCATCTCACCACTTTTAGGATGAAAAAAAGTTGCACTGTTGGAATAGAATAGATTTATATAAGGAGGAATATGGAAATTTCTGAACTGGAGTGGACCTGCAGTTCATTAATCCTGCAACCCGACGCTGCACATTCTTTGCAGTGTATGTTTAACAATCCATGCAAAATACTTAGACTGTGTTATAACTCCAGTTATTTTTAATACCCACATGAAACGTGTAGCATACTCATTAAATTCTATTGAGTTCTGATTTCTTATCTTTTATGTCAATTTTTGGGCTAAGAAACATCATTTTCATGTTCTACATTTCACCAAATGCCCCTTCTGCCTTGTGTTAGAAGACAGAACCTCACTTCCACAACATTCATCATAACCGTATTTCCTTTTCAAACGAGTTTTCTCCTTATTTTCCTTATTCAAACTCATCAACATAATGTGTTTCCTCACTTCACAAGACAGGAAAGCTGTCTTCAGAGATAAAGTAGTGGAGTAGAGTTGGCAGCTCTTTGAGAACACCTTTCACAAAGCTCTCTGTTCCCTAGCACAAGAACTCAAGCAGAGGAGGCAGAAAACCAACATGGTTGAGCAAGGACCTGCTGATCAAACTGAGGGAAAAGGAAGAAAAAGAAAAAAAAAAGGGATCCATTCATACAGTCAATGAAAGCAGGGATGGGTGGTCTGGGAAGATATAGAGATGCCATCCAGATGTGCAAGGATGGGATCGGGGAAGCCAAGATGCAGACAGAACTAAACTTAATGAAGAATGTGAAAAATACCACGGGGTTCTGCAGGTACTTCGGCAAGAAGAGAAAGGCCAAGGAGAGTGCGTACTGTCTGATGGGAAGGGAGAACTGGCTTCCGTAGACATGGGGAAGGCTGAGACACTCAACAAGTTCTTTGCCTTGGTCTTTACAGGCAGTCAGGCTTCCCACGTCCCTCACGTACCCAAACTTTTAGGCGGGGGTTTGGGCAGAGGAGTCTCTTCTGCTGCAAGAACAGAGCGTGTCCAAGACTGCCTTGTGAGGCTGAATGTATAGAAGTAATGTATAGAAGTCTATGGGGTCCAATGATGAGCATTCCAGGGTCCTGAAGGAACTGGCTGATGTGACTGCCAAGTCACTCTCCAACGTGCTTGAAAAGTTGTGGCTGTCAGGAAAGTTCCCAATGATTTGGAAAAGGGAAACATCACTCCTATTTTTAAGAAAGGCAGAAATGAAGTCCCAGAGAACTACAGGCCAATGAGCCTCACTTCTGTGCCTGGGAAGAACACAGAGCAGCTCCTCCTGGAAGTTGTATGAAGGCACTTGCAGGACAAGAATGTCATCCAAGACAGCCAGCACGGCCTCACCAAGAGCAGACTTGACCAACCCATCACACAGTGACAGCATCAGTGGACAAAGGGCAACTGATGTTATCTACCTGGACTTCTGCAAGGCCTTGCACGTGATCTCACACCAAATCCTTATCTCTAAATTGAAGAGATACAGATATGAAGAGCAGACTATTCAACTGATAAATTAATTGGTTGGATGGTCTCAGCAGCTCTACGTTCAGGCGGAGGCCAATCACAAGCGGTGTCCCCCAGGGGTCTGTCTTGGGACTGGTGCTCTTCAACATCTTTATCAACAACCTAGACAGTGTGAGCGACTACCTCGAGCAAGTTTGGTGATGACACTAAGCTGAGTGCTGCAGGTGATACAACAGAAGGAAGGGATGCTGTTCAGAGGGACCTGAACAGGCTTGAAAAGTGGACCCATGTGAACCTAATGAGGTTCAACAAGGCCAGGTGCAAGGAGCTGTACTTGAGTCACAGCAACCCTAGGTATGTATACAATACTGTGGGAAAAACTTATTGAGAACAGCCACACAGAGGAGAAGAAGAGGAGGGATACCAACATTTTACAATTTTGATAGAGCAGAGACAAGAAGGAAAAAGTTTTAAACTAAAAGTGGGGAGACTTAGATTAAATGTCAGCAAAATTTTTCAATCAGAGTGTGGTGAGGCACTGGCACAGGCTGCTCAGAGAAGCCATGGACACCTCACCCCTGGAGGTGTTCAAGGCTGAGTTGGATGGAGCCCGGGTCAGCCTGATCTAGTGGGTGACAATTCTGCCCACAGCAGGAGAGGTGGAACTAAATGGTCTTTAAGGTGTCTTCCAACTCAAGCCATTCCATCATTCTTTGGTAAGGTTTATGATAAGAAGTTGAGTTATGATTAATGTACAGCATGTAGAAATGAATCAATAATATACACATATGAATTAGAAAAACAAAATGCAGGAAACAGAAAGCTGTTTCTGCTACAGAAGGCCAACATAAATACCAAGCAAATGAAGCTGTTTATCTTATCCTGCTGTTTAATATGTTTATTACATAAAAGCCTCTCAAATCACCAATTAGACAGCAGGATCCCCTGGGTATGCAACAAATAAACCCTGCAAAGTTTGCCATAAATCTCAGTCACATGACACATATGATGAAGGAAACAAATAAAAAGCTGAGAAATAAAAGGAAGGCAGCTATCCTTTGTTGTAAAAGCCTGTTTTCATTAAGGATGAATAAATATGCTGACTTCACAGGGAAACTAATGTGATGGACTTCAAAGAATCAAAATAAAGACAACTCAGTTTATTCACTTTAAATCTGCCATAAGAAAACCAGTCACTCTATCAGATGTACAGTAAGTACCTCTAAAATCTGTTCCTAAGGAGTTTAGTTACTACTGCAAAGGGCAACTTTGCAGGTAGGACTGACCATGTTAAGAGTTTTGGCTTGCAGATAAGGTGCATGCAAAACTGCAGAAGTTGGGCTAATGACAGTAAAAAGGACTACACAAGGCTCAGCTCCTTACCTGCTTACTTGCTCAAACACTTTGTAGAAATAACCCTCCTGATCTGGATAAACAAAAATCTCTACCCCCTAAAGACTGTCTCATGTCTCAGCAGCACTTATCAATAAACAGTGACCAAAGGCACTGAGAAAGGAACTAATTTAGAAGTAATGTGATGAAGACAGGCAAGAAAGGGAGGAGAAAGAAAATCCAAGCCAATTCAGGAATGATGCAACAGTTCTTCCAGGTTATAATGGATGGGTGTAAGACACAGAGGACACACAACATGTCAATGGTTGCTGCAGGATTTCCGGTAAGAAGGGCTAGGAAACCTCTTCTAAAAAACTCACAAATGAATGTAACCTCGGCTACATCTAACAGCGACTCTGAAAGACAATTATTTTATTGTTTTGATAACTATCCATGTAGTCATCAAGGCGACTGTAATCCAAACATCCTCTGGTTCTGCAGATAGCTATTTCCTCTCATGTTTCCTCTTATCACCTGTTTTGACCTGTTTTGGTGTTGGTTTTTTTTTTTTAAGCAAACCAGTTGCAGCAGAACAGAGAGCTTCAATTCAGGTTTCTGGATGGAGACCAGGACACTGTGATTAACTCTTTTCTTTTCAAGTTATTAAAGGGCCTTTAACAATTGTGAAGAACTGAAGATCTAGCTGAAGTAGTTGCTACTAAAAAGTCAAGTCTTCTGAGGAAAATATAGCTTAAGTGCAACATTTACTCATTGTATCAGCTGAGAAGCAGCAACATAGTTAGAAGGAACTGAAGTTGCTGTTGGGAACCCCATTCAGTTCTGTTTTATGATACACACTCTTGTATTCAAGAAGAAAGTTACAAATTAAGCAGATAGATTATAGCTAAGTGTTCTCCCTTCAAGCAACACTGAGACGGTTGAAGAAATAACAAGGGTTCATTCCTGCAGTAAGAACTACCACCCACTAAAAGCCACAACCCACTCACTGGATTTTCACACTGCAAATTTCAGTAGAATCTCCTGGCCTTCGCCTTGATCTCTTGTGTAGTTCTAAGCTTCAGAGAGCTGAACACAGGACTGAGCACCACCTATTCCAATATCACAGAATGGAACAGCTGCCCTGCTACCCCCATTGCATGGCAGCACTCTTTGCTGGGGAAATCAGCAGAGCGACTCTGTGGGGGGGGAAAACATTGCATTTTATAGGAGCTGTTTAGTCTGCCATGAACTGAGTCATTAGTTTTCCTTATCAGGGGCAGTCACACACAGCGAACCACGTTCGTATTTGATGTCACTCTACAGAAGCCTTTAAAATAAACAACGAGATTAACACTTTCTGGTGTTAGCCAGTGAGGTAACTTTGACCTTGCCAAAGAGATTACGTGTGTCATATCAAGAACATATCAGATACCTCTACTGCTAACTCAATAATGTATGCTCAGTTACAATATTTGCGTATCTACAACCATGAATAATTGAAAGAAAGAAGAAATCTATCAAAGAAAAGATTAATGAGAAATGCATACACGAAACATGCACTGTTAATAAAACTTCCATCAATGCTTTTTTATCCAGCGGAGTCAGCACCATGCTTCTTAAGGAAGAGGTGTGCCTGTTCTTTGCATGCAGGGCAAAGAATAGCTAAGGACTCCAGGGCAAAGATAGCTAAGGACTCGGTGAGGGTGCTCGAGAGCTGCACCAAGTCACAGGCTGCTGTATGCACTAAGGACAGTGATGAGGAAAGCAGTGGGTGCCTACAAACACACCCACTGCTAAGCACTCCTTGAGCACGTGACCATTTCCCTGACCTGTCTCCGTGGGTTTCATCAGTGTTAAGCCTTCAGTGTTAAACTTTTGGATGAGTAACAGATGATGTGCTATTGAGAGAAAGGAGAAAAAGGAGTTTGAAAAACGCATACGCAGAATACTAGATGTTAAAACCAGCAACAAAAGCAATAGGGAGGCACAGTTTCAATGAACAAATCTGGCTGCAGTTCCAGAGACTTGTGATACATTAGGGAGAGGGCAGAGGGTTTTGCACTGCGTCCTAGAAGCACCTTAAAACAAGATGGCACGAACATCCATGGTAGGAAATGAAGAAGCAGGCAGAGATTCGTCACATATCTTTAAGACCACTTAAGCAGATGTCATGGGGTAAGCAACCAACAGCTACAGAGATTTATTCCTGCCTGAGCAGCAGAATAATGATTCATTATTAATAGGAAATCTCTCCTAGCATCAGAGGCTGCACTAGAGCACAGATCCACTGCGGAGACAAGTATATAGGGGTGTGTGCAGCTGGGCAAGAAAAATCTCAGGGAGCACAAGATAGTGAGTGGTGCTCTGAATAACCAATCATTGATGTCTTTTGCAAAAGTTCTCTGCATTTCCCTTCCTTACAATTTTAACATAGTATTTTCCTTCTTCTGTCTAGTAACACAGCTAAATATATTCACAAATTAAGCCAAAATTCAAGTGCAAATCATCACTGAAGGTCTCCATTTTAAATACCAATACACTCATAACATAATTTATTTTATTATTATGTTTGAATGTTAGGCATTCTGGATGACAGTATAAAGTATACACAGTTTGATTGTTGCTGATAGACATCGTCTCACAAATGTGCACACTGTGAAATGTTTCACAGACACAGATGTATTTTTAAAAGCTATAAACACGCAGACAAGGACATTTGTTTTACTCTGCAGCTTTTAAAGATGAAACATCCTCCAAGAGCACTTAGGGCAACACTGAACACGTTAATTCATGTTTAACAACATTCTGCCAGCACGTGTCTGTGCAGGGAAAACTCCTTTCACTTACAGCCACATAGAGGTGATAACCCCAGCCGTTATTCAGAACAACTTTTACAGTAATTAACAATTCATACACGCAAGAATTTAATTGGCACAGGGAAACAAACCAGAAGTATTTCAGTGCAGGCCAACCAACTTCTATATAATCAGAGAGGTTAACGAATGGAGCTCCTCTGAGCAAACTGCAAAGTTGTACCATGTTCTGCATCCCAACCAGACAGCAGTTAGATCCAGCTCTGCTCTTAGCAATTTATTTCAGGCAAACAAAAAGAAAATAAATCAATACCTTCCAAGTAAGAAAGTCAAGTGCCAGAAGCAGCCTTGCACTAAGTACTTCCTAAAAATGATCTACAAACAGCCCCATGATATTTAGACCTTACTGCTACTGAGGGAAAGTCAACTTAGCTCAACTATCAGGGAGCAAAGAAAAAAATACATAAAATTCATGTTTATGTTAAATAGTAAAAGCTCAAAGTCACATTTTAGACTGAGGATATACACACAAATTTACAAAAGCTTGAGAGGAAAGCCCAAAACACCTTTTAGGAAACTTCTAGAAGAATTTGCAGGAGAGCACTGAATCACCAACTGTGCTAGCAAATAAGGAACATCTCAAGCTATTTAAACACAGACCGTATCACTGTGCAGCAATCTGCACTTTTAGAGCATACAGTCTCCCTGGGGCAGGTGATGGCCACCTTCAAACCTAGAAAGCAGGGAGCACTCTTATGTAGAGAAACAACAGCTACTCCTCTTCAATCCTAACCTTTTAGATTCTATAAAAATTAAAACAAAGCAAGCCTAGCAGCCTGGAAGGGATTCCCAAATTAAAGAGACAGGTAACAGAGATGTAAATATTCAAAGCAACTCTGATTTAAAGGTGCTTTATTTTATTCTCTAAGCAAAGCAACCATAGCAGATGGATCCTCCTTGCCCTGCCCGTTTTGATTCTTGCATCCTTTGAGTCTCAGATGCAATAATACAGGAAAAAGTAAATTCTCACCTTTTTTCTCTCTGGCAATTTGTCGCACTCCTTCTCTAAACTCAGAAAGAACTTGTAGGTATGGCATCACAGTCGATTCAACCTGTAGGATAATTATTTCTACAATTAACCAATAATAACTTTAATTTTAAATGAGTTCTTGACTAGCTTATATTTACATGCTCTTGGATGGAAATTGACCCTCGAGGCAGCTCTATACCCGTAAAAAATGTCACTGCTCTACTGATGTCAAAGGAGGGACAATAATTTGCATTAGCTGACAATTTTTCTTTTGTGATGATAAAATGAATTTCCTCCCCCCATTCCTTTTTCTTCTCCTTGCAGTTACTGATACAACAGTTCCACAGATTTTTGTTAAAAGTCCAGCTAACTACAACGTGTTGTAAGAGATAAAAACAGCTGCCAAAAATATGCTGTAGAGCTACACCCAGATGTATGTCCATTCATGTTCTGTGCTGTCTTAGGTCAAACTGCTTGCCACAATTAATACCAGGTGAAGATGATGCTAAGACTTATTTGTATTTAGAACACAGATCTGTCCCTCAAATGGTAGCATATCCTACCTCTATTTGCTTGCAATACTGCGTGTTGCCTGTACTCCACCCTCTCCCACAAAAAGTGTGGGGGGAGATTACTGTTGAATTATTTCAGGTGTAAATAAATGCTGTTCATGAAAGCTCAAGAGGTTATGCTGAGAATCCTGCAGTCAGTGGGGATAAAATAGCAATGGCAAGCAGCTTGTGAACACAACAAACAATTACAAAACCAACCACATGTCAGTGCTGTCTGCCATTGCATTTCTGGAATCCCAAGATGAAAAGCTGGGCACCTATTAGACTCCTTATAATAAAAGTTGGATTACTTCGAATGGCAGGGGAGACAGAAAATAAAATAAAGGCAAAATTTTCTTTCCTCTGTAGTTTCCAAGAGTTTCTCCCACTGTTAAATCTCTGTGAGAAATTTCTGTGTAATTAGCAATCCAGAGGCTGTTCTGCTCTAAAAGCACCCATATTTTATAGGAGCAGAGGGGCTCATTTATAAAACATTTTATATAAAGTGTTAAATGTGAATGTTACATGGTCATATTCACAACCAGAGCCTGAGAAGTGTGGTGGAAAGAAAAGCCTCTGGAGCTATAGCCACATCTCTGCTACCTTCTCTACATGCAAATTACCCTGACATGCAAATAAGTTGGCATCAGGAAAGCATGCACTGTTATTACTTTATTATACATATAAGAAAGCTAAGGATTAAAGATTATTATTATTTCCAGAATAACTAACCTAAAAGCAGTGCTTAAGTCATTGGGAAAATGAGACTACGTAACCTGAGCTTTTCTGACTTCAGATCTCTTCCCCTTTCAAACAAATTACTGAACCTTGGTAATCATGCCAGTTGTTTACACAGAGCTTTTGAAGAAGATTGTGCTTTTTTTTTTGGAGATAACGATTTTCAGATCTATTGATTCCTTCATCTTTAATTTGGACAAAGAGACAACAGGTCTGATCCACCACTTTCTATTTTAATGAGAAGCTTTCCAATTTTGAATGCTCACCTGGTAATTTTTACTAAGAAAAGTAACTATCTGCATGGCAGACTGAACGAAGGCATAACATTTAATGAAAGAGCCAAAACATTTTTCATATTATACTTCTTTGTACTATAATTCTTAAAACCTGAAGTATCCTAGGAGACAAATACAAAAGCAAAATTACCTGCTTGGAGTACCTGGCTGCTGGTTTTCTTTGAACTGATTGCATTAAAAAAAAAATAAATCAAGAACTAAAATATAGATGTGTATGTAGTTTACTAACAGATGATGAAATCTCCTTTCCATACCAGATTCTTTTGACTCTACAACATTACTACTACATTACAACATTACTACTACAGAGTAAAAAGCACAGCTTTTCCAGCTGTTGCCAATCCCTTCCCTAAAGCTTGTTTTGTTACAAACACTGCCTAAATGGAGTGTCAAATACAGGTTTAATTTTCATTTTCCCTAAAAAGCTGGTGTTGCTTTTCTTTTAAAATTCAAAGTAATTTTTAACTAAACTAAAATTCACTACTGATGCTGACTGTCTTCCTTATAATCCATTTCATATCACAATTGGAGATTTCCACAACACTGCAATGTAACTATTTGTACAGGCAATAATAATTGATAATTATGATAATTACCAACCAACAAGCAAGCTTTTCTCTTCCATGGTGAATTAAAGCTTTTTTCTGTTTATGTTTTTGTTTAGTTTTGTATTTGCCCTATCACAAATGTTTTAATCAGTCCTTCCAAGGAGGAACAGAAGAACACCACGTCACTACTTTGAATGTAAGATGGCATGAGACGAGCTACTCGGTATCAGATGCTGAGCCAAACCTATTTTTCATGTCAAAATTTTATCATAAGGAGAACAAACAAAGTTGATACCCTTCCAGATGGAGTTATTTCTCCTGCCTGTCCTGGGAAACATGACTGTTATTACAGGGCCCGTCAGCACTTTCATCAGCATCTCCCACATATTTCTAGGAAAATTCTGCATCCTAGTGGTACTGCTGGGTGACTAAAGAAAAACAGCCTTCAAAAGCCAGATAAATACTGTGGCTACAAATGAGATCAGAAAAAGAGATTGAAATGAGGATGAAACTCCAGCTGCCTCCAGGCTGGTTTTTGGTGTACCACAAGGAACTTTAATCAGTATAATTGTATTTTTGAAACTACTTAATACACAAATCCTTGTAATGAGTCTTTATGCTATATCATGTGCTGTCTGCAGCTAATGTGGTTTCTCAAACAGATTCATCATTCAGAAGACAAGATAATTCTTCCTCTGGTTGCTGTACAATTTGTCTGTCATTAAGTCAAACAAACCTATTAAAAAAGCAAGTCTCATAAATGAAAAATCCTATTTCCTATGCCAATTAATTATATTTTTCTGCTTGCAATATTTGCATCTGAAGTAACTCAGCTAAAATCAGTAGCGTAATCACTGTAACCAACTTAGACTTTCAAAAGAACGCGGTAATTTTGTGTACCGTACTTTGTTCCTTCACTTACATTTATGTTTTGACTATTTCCTCCAACAGGAAAACCAATTGCGTCATCGCTTTCTACGGCACCAAAAATCTGATTGAGGGGAAAACAAAGAAAGGGGAAAAAAAAGAAGAAATTGTATGCATCAAGTCACAGATACATGAAGACTGAGCAAAGTCACACATACTAATGTTTTGAAGCCACCTAGTTCATTTAACCCACATTTTACTGCTTTATTAACAGTATATCTTGGTTTGCTTTTTAATTGATCGCGCATATAAAGCACTGGCCTTCAGATTTATGTTTAAAGCTGACAGATTTGACATTCTGACTTCATTTTTTCTTCTACCGTCTAAGTTTGCATGCATGTGTTAAGGACTCTGCACCACTGAACAAAACATTAGCAGAAAATGTAACTTAATATAAAGGACTCCAAATTTTTCCTGCTGCAGCATGCACTACAGTTTAGGATTGATTGAGATGAGTGTGGCAGATCTCTAGTTTCCTGCAAGACAAATGAAAACTGTACAGATCCCTACATGTTTGAAAAATACAGCAGTTAAAATTGCACAGCACAGTAGCAACTTTACCTCTTGCTATACCATACCTTTAGCATTTGAGTGAGATAGCAACTGATGTTTTCTAAAAGAAGTCTGTTTGGCATTTGTCTGGCAGATTTCTTTGCAGCAATATAGGAGTTGGACTGACTGACTAACGAACGCATTTCTTCTAAGACAGAGCGAGTGTCAACATTGTCACAGAGTGCTTCATGAATTGCTGCCTTCTTGTCATAAAAACTAAGAAGAAAAACACTTTTTTTATATTTATGCCAAAAGTATCCGCAAGCTACTCTGAAGAACTTCTGTTAAAGGATGGAAGAGGACCTAAATCTGGTCAGAATTCACGTTTGTAGCATGAGCGAGAGAAAAGCATCATCACAGTGCAGCTGTTTTGCTACTATAGACAAAGGCAGGTAGAATAATCTAATTGGCAACAACTAACCAAATAAATTACATCAAGTGCATCTTCAGAAACTGACCTTTTAATATCAGGTACTAAAAGCAGTACAAATTGCCTATTTAGCACCTGGTATTGATCTCCTATCCGTACATAGCAGCTTAGGATTCTGTTCAGCAGTGTTCTAATATGGAACACCAATTTAAAAGCTAACACTCTACAAAGACAAGCGTTACAAAGCTGTTATGAAGCAACTACAAGAAATAAATTACTGCAGACATTTATCATGGCTATAAATTTATAAGTAATATGGTATATAAAGTACTGTTTCATCAGGCAAGGAATACTACTGTTTCATACAACATTTTTTTCTGAGAAAAAAACAAGAAGTGGTGAATAAAGGAGACAAAAAATATCCATACGATATATACTGTTATCCTATTTCTTTGTCCTTTCCTTCTGACCTCTCAGTTAATTTTCCCCCAAGTTGAAGAACGAATTTTCAAGGACACTACTAAACAGAACCACCCATACTTGGACTTAACACCTCTCCTCACTACAGTGAACTAAACTATGACAAATTTTAGTACTGCAATGAAAGGAGTTTTTATTTAGACTTCATACATTAAAAAAGTCACATGAGAACTTGTTAGCATTATAAGCAATATAGTTTGTTTAAGTATAATATGAGAATATAAGTGAAAGACTGCAATATTCATATCACTCCCTCTTTCCACTCAATGGCACATTTTCAAATACTGGCACCCTGCTGGTAGTCAAGTCATTTAAATTCTGTTTGTCTCATTTTAGTCACTGCACTCTGAAACAAGTAAAATGTTATTTCTATGATTGTAAATACTGCATTCAAAATTATCAGTCACTTCTCAAATAGGAAGACAACTTTTCACGTATTGAAGGAAATGACATCTAACAAAGTAGCTCCATTTCCCTACACAAACAGGACAATGAGCAATGCCTGTGTACTTCACATAAATGAAACTGAAGTTAACAATTTCATCTATTCTTCATAAAGCTGCCAAATACAGAAGTCATGCAATGAAAAAAGAAATTAAACATGCAGCTACATAAAGTTATTCATAGAAGAAGTAAGAATGCTCAACTCACTTTTTGTTAAGCTCTGCTTCCTGATTTTCCCATTTCTGAAACTGGCCTGTCACATCAGTGGGAGCTCGAAGAATATCCTTCACATTTAAAAAGAACTCCTATAGAAGAACATATTTGAAATCCTGTTTAAACTATAAAGAACCAATATTTACGAAGGAAAAAAAGCACTATTTCTTACTTAGCCTTATAAAGCTTATAGTTTCCACACTAATTTGGCCTGGATTTACTGAGCATCTGTCACAACAGGGAAACCCACAATTTTCAAGTAACTGTAAATCATAGTCAGACCAGTTGTTGCTCTGCTGCTGCATGATACAACACAATACCCTAATGTTAAGCTGCTTAAATACAATACCATTCAGAAAACAATTAAAAAACAACAATTTTTATGGCAGATTTCTTTGTGTAGCTAGGAATGGAAACCAAAATAGAAATGGCTTTATAGCAAGGTGGGTTGTTTTTTTTTTCCCCCCACACAGGCATCCAGTTTAGAGAAAAGTCATTTTCATTTATTTTGTGATCCAAGCCAAATATTTTATATATTAAAAGCAGAACATCTTCACCTGAAGACCAAAAATCGATCTCCTGGAGACCAAAAACAACAGAACACTAGACAGCCTCCTTGTAGGTAATGCACGCTTAAATCACTGCTCCAAACTACACAGGGAACAGAACTGTGCCCAGCCACTCACATTACAGCTACTAGGCATAAAGCCAGAAGTTCGATGTATTAGTTGAGGAGACAAGGTAATAATGATATATCCCCTTAACTATATTCGTGTCAAGTTTGATCTGATAGACATGTCATGAGAATGTCTGTCGGATTGAGTCCTTTAAGCAAGCTAAAGTAAGAAATTAATCTTGTGTTTCAGTGGCAAGATGCTCAGACTTGACAAAACTTGGAAAAAGCACCCATTTGCAAAGAAATGTTGCTGCCTGTGGTATGGTTTAAATGTTCAGTAGAAACACTTGAATGTTCTACAGAAATACTGTAAGATCCACCCAATCAACACAGAAAGCAAACTCCTTCTGGGGATAAGGCCTATGCATCCTTGGGTACTATTGCCTGAAATATGTTATGGCTTCAGGAAGTATTAACATCTCAAGGAGGAAAGGAAAGCTTACGTACATTCATAAACTTCTCATACTGAATAGCTGACTCCATGGTATTACTTGAATAATCCAGTGTATCCTTCCAAGAGTGCATGAGGAAAGCCAATCGTAACTGCCGTGCTATTAGAAGTTTCAAAATAAACAAGAAGAATAATCATAATAATAAGCTAAAGTTTTTTATGGCCTCCAATGTTGTCATGGCTAAGAACATAGCAATTATTAATATCCTTGCTCTTAATATATCTACTAAAGAAAGGGAGAACTCTATTATCCATACAGATAATACCAAAGAGAACTGGAGTAGCTATTCTAAAGTTATTGAAGGAAAAAAGACACTTAAACTTAGCCAATTTTGGAAACTCCACTATAAGCCTCAATTACCACACAGCACTCAAACTATATCAAAAACATTCAAATTCTAAACTAAATTTCACCTGTATGTTTCTTCAGTGCATCTTTTATAGTGATAAAATTCTTCAAAGATTTGGACATTTTACAGCCTGCTATTGTTAAGTGGCCAGTATGCAGAAAATATCGCACCCAGTTATCATTTTCAAAGTATGCCTGCAGGGAAAAACAAGCACACACACACACACAAAAGACTTAACATTGTGTACACATGTAACCTAAATAATGATAATTTAGGAATAAAACAGGGAGGAAAATACCAGGATGGTTATACAAAATACATGCAAATTAAAAAATAAGAAAAATTAAAATATTAAAGTTCAAAAAACAAAGCTATAAAGCAGGGAAAAAAAAAACCAGATTTGCGTGGGTTGCAGTCACAGCAAAGCAGACAGCTTTATCACTGCAGAAACTAAAGGCCAGTGACAAACAGCTCACTCACCTCAGACTGTGCCAGCTCATTGTCATGGTGAGGAAATCGGAGATCAAACCCTCCTCCATGAATGTCCATCGACTCTCCCAGAATGGATCCAGCCATTGCAGAACATTCAATGTGCCAACCTGGCCGCCCCTGTGAAGACAAATGTGTTACCTGACAACCTGTCTTCCTCTCCCACCCATCTCACTGCTCTGCCCCTAAGCAGTTACACTGAGAAAATGAGATACAGTACTATCAAAGAAAAAAAAAACAGAACAGCTAAGACTCAGCTTTATAAACGTATACAGTTGGACTTGAATATCAAACACGGCACATACATCTGTGATGCCTTGATTATCCTCCTGATTTTTCATCACTAAGAAAAATGAGAATTGAAAAATCTTTGGAGATAAAGATTATAAATGACTGACCAATAACAGGCATCATAAGTCTGCGTGCTGAATTCTGTTTAAAAAATGATGAACAGGCAGATAGATATTCTAAGTAACTGAATGACTACAGCAATAGAACTTACAACTGAATACAAGATCCTCATAATCTAGACATTTATATGAAGTGAGCCATAGTATTTGTTAAATATAAAACATGCTACTTAATAAGGTGTGGAGGATCTAAACCCTGCTTGTAATGTGCTTACCTTTCCCCATGGAGAGTCCCATGAGGGCTCTCCTGGCTTGGAGGATTTCCACAAAGCAAAATCATTTGGAGAATGCTTCTCACATAGGCGATCAGCTGAGATACTCAGATCACCTTTCAAAAGGAAAAAAAAAAAAAAATATATATATATATATATATATATATATAAATAGTTCAATTTTGTTTTAACACAATTATTATTGATTTTTGGCCTCACTGACACTGAATGAGGCTGAGAGGAAAAAAAAAAAAAAAAGGAAAGAAAGATAAAATACTCAGCCCTTGAAATTCCTCATAATTAACTTTGTTAACTCTTCGGGTTTCTTTATTAATATTTAGTTGATAGGAAAGCTGACAACAAGTATCAGCTGTGCTGCTTTCTAAGTTTTGACACGACATTCATCTGCATTATCTCTACAGGCACAATTCCAGTGTTCCAGTTGTAGAAAATGAAATACAGAAATAAAGAAATCTCATATTCACACATAAATAAGGCTGGGAAACCAATTTATTCCAAAATCAGAAGTACCAAAATCAAGACTAACTAACTTGCCTTAATATGCACACAACGCAGTCCTAGGGTATCTTTTACATCCCCTGCCTCAGTTGCTACACAGAATGGCTGGTAATTCTTCAATATCTACAGGTTTATTGTTTTGTTGCTACCACAGATGCTGCGCATAGTAGTTTCTGTCATTTCTTTATGATCACTTGTTTGGTGGTCTTGCTATAACATCTTTAAAACAAGAGAATTTACCATTTCTGCAGTACTGTCAAAAACTGTCTCTTGTCAACAATACCACTTGCCACATGAGAGCCTGAAACTAAATGAAACTCAAAGATACACTTGTCAATTCTGACACACAGCTTGAGATACTTGCAATATCATTCTTCCATTTCTTGTCACTATGCACTTTGAGCACGAAGAGTATTTTTCTTCCATCTATTTACATCAGATGCAGTTTCTGAAATTCACCATTTCTGCTCCCTCTGCTAGCTAAAATAACATCATCTGTCAGGGCAATCATCTCAAATAAGTCAAAGCAGCTAAGCTGCAAGCAATCTAAGCCTATGTGTGGTCTCAGTTACATTAATCACTTTGTTTTAGTCTCTATTTGCAAAAGCAGACCATTGTGCTTGTTTGCACGGTGGCAACGATGCATTCATGTTGCCACTAAGACGGCAGCTTAAGCTAGCACCTTTTATTTCACACATCACGGGCAATCTCAGCTATCAGAGTTTAAGTCAAGAAAAAAAATATCAAATGTGATTAAATGTCTTGTCTCTTAGATATTGATAGTTATCTTAATTCTGCCTACAAGCACAACATAAAAAAATCTTTTAATATACTTAGGATACATTTTATGGATGATTTCTACTAAAATTGCACAACATTAAGAATAGATAAAATGCTTGATAAAACTCATTATTTAAGCTAAACTGTTGCAGTAGGTCTAATCAAAAGATCTATATTTGGATTTAGTTCAATACAACAAGAATTCTCTGTATTAGAGAGGAATTAGAAAGAAAAAAACATCATCAACAAATATTTGTCATAAAATAGACAATAATCATTTGAAGAGATCAACACATGAGCAATTTATGTAAATGTTATTTCCCCTTTTTACCTTCACCCTCTTGAAGAGCTTTCTGATCACCCACAGCTTCAGGAACCAACTTAGCATAGGAGTGTTTTTTACTGGAATCAAACTTCACAGTATCAAAGTATACAGATCCATTGGACACATACCTGAAAAGTTCAGATAATTACACAGCTTACTTTTCTACCAAGACCTGAGACTAAATTGTACACTCAAAATCACTAACCTTCTTACTCTCTCTCGTAAACCCACATACAGTATGGTGCTGCTAAAGTGAGCTAAAATCTCATCTAAGTTTTATGGCATTGTCATAAATAATTCAGATAAGCCACTGAATGTCAGAATAAAACTCACTGAAGGGAAAGTGAACATCTTTTCTAAAGTTCTCAAAGAGGTGAGATGCCAAATTAACAGTCCCAACAAATATACACAACATTCCTGATCCCTTTTAATATTTTGCGATAATATAACAAAGAATCGTATTTGTTTTGGAGCCCATTTTGTTTTTTGTTCCCCTTTGCTTTGTTGATTTTTTTTCTACTGCCAATGTGAGATGAAGCCTGAGAAAAATGTTTTAGGATCACAATGAGCGCTCATAGTTCAATACAAATCGTCTTCCTTTTTTTCTTCTTTTGAAGAAAAATGTAGGTTTAAAGCAAGAACATGCAAGACAACTGAAACAGTTCTGCTTTTTTCACAGTAAAAACATACCTGCACTGAAAAACTGAGGCCAAAAAGAGAAAAAACACTCAAAAATTTCCATCAGGAATCTATCATGATACTTAGGAAATTCTAGAGGATTAGCCCAGCTTTCTCAAGCATGAGACAATGTCAGGCTCTAATTTCAAAATAATTTGTTGTTCTGTTTGTTTGTTTTTTAATCTATGTTATTTACAGCTGATATTCAGCAATCCACTCAGGGACATAGTTTTGAAACCCCTGTAAGTCAAAACTGTAAGACTGTAAGTCAAACTCAGTTTAAGTGATTTGGACTATGATTATTTATTTTAAGGAACAAGGATTTCACCCTATTAATTTAATAATCTAACTTGTCCTTTTGAAAATTAAAAGTATTGAGTAGCAAATTTTCATCAGGTTAAACACAGGTCTTACACAAAGGACTCTGAAATGCCTTTATTTGATGAGATGCTGCTTTTGGAAAAGAATACCATTCCATATGAAAACAAAGAACAGAGTTCAAAGTGAGTTTTGAAAGCAATCATTCTGGCTCTGATACAATATAAACACACAAAGGCATTCAGTAGCAAGCTTACCCGTAACCATTATCCACAATCTTTTTCACAAATGCCACAATTTCTGGCACATATTCACTAACCCGCGTTAAAACATCTGGAGGTAAGACCTAAGAAAGTAAAAAATAGCATTTTATACATATATGTAGTGTATATTTGTATGTATATATATTTATGTGTATCATATACTCACAAAGTGACCTGCTTAAAAGGCAGTAGAATCTGATTCCTACTTTAAGCCCTCTGTTCTGCAACGATGAGCTAGATGAGCTGTGGCAATTTTTTCTCAGCCTCTAAGGCCATGTTAACAATACAACGCTGCAAGAGATGGCATACTGCACTTCTGTCACAACAGGCAGCACGCCACTTTGATTTGGAAGTAAATAAACAAACTTTTGCTATTCTGACCCACTGCACATGACTCAGTATTTCACCTGTAACACATAAGTCTGCACTTGATTGCCGTTGCCACCAAACAATTTGAAGAATGATATGTAGTCAATGATGAGTAGGTTGGTAAGGCTCTTCCATGCAGCAAACAGGATACCTGAAATTTCTGGATCGGTTAATGATTTTAAGGCCATTTCAGATCAAGAAGGGATGGAGTACATGCATTAGATCTGATCTGATTGCCATTGGCACTTGTAACATGCACAACTGTTCTAAGATTGCTGGGATAGAAACAGAGTATGTGCTAACTTTTTAATCTATGTATTCATATAAAAAATTAAAGGAAAAAAAAAAGTATCTATAAGGTTGAAACGCAAGGTTTTTGATAAGTAGTTAGGGACCTGCACTGTAAACCATATTCTGGGTATTATGAGGCATGGCATACACACTTTCAAAACAGAAAAGAGTTAATTTACTTACGTTGAGAGCTTCCATGTCTTTATGAAATTCCCCTTCCCAGAATTTGGGGAGCTCTGAGAATATGGAATTGTCAGTCACTTGGCTGCCAAATTTTGAATCCAGCCAGTCAGACAGTAAATCTTTGGCTTCTTCCAACAGTATCTATAAAACAGTAATTATAAGTGCAACTGATCAAAGCCTTGTTCTCTTTAAACTCTGTAAAAAGGTCTTATCCCGAACAGTGAGATTTGCTCCAGGAAGAAGATATTTGGGTACAAATACAAAGTAATCACATTTTTATCTTATTGTCCCTCATATGTACAGATAAAACACCAGAGAAAGGAATGCAAGTGGTAACGTCATGTGTTTTGCTATCAGTCACTTTAATAAACATGTACAATTTACACTGTGCACATCAATGAAAAGCATCTGAACAACTGGAATTCTAACACGGATATATTTCTCTGTCCTATACTAAGAGATGTCAAACAAACAAAAAACCAACAACTTTCAGCTCAAAAGGTAGCATCTGGGTAAATTTTAACTGCTTTCTGTTTGGTCAATATACTTTTATAATATCACCTGATTCAATAGTAGCTTTTTTTTCTATTGTTGTGTTTTGTTTTGTTTTTTTAAGATATGTCAGCAAGAGGGAACATACCCTATGCTTCCTGCACTGCTAATCAGGAATAATCTGAAAGCAAGAGAAGAGGAATGCAGAAGCCAATTATTAAAAGTTAGCTATTTTATTGCCTGACTCGTAACTGGAACAGTACTGAAGCCCAAGAAAGTCAACAGGATTACTGTCACTAATTAGAATAATCTTTGGTATATATTCAATATTGTTTCAGGAATTACCACAAGCAATATATTATTTTCAAAGCCATAACAAAAATCATTCTAAAAGGAGCTCAAACTGACCTCATGACATCTGCTGATCTCTTCTGCAGGGAGTTTTGCTTGCACAGCTTCTTGTAGAGGGTCAAAAGCAGACTTCACTGCATTCTGAATTTTTTCCAACATCTGCCTTTTATCTGGGTCTGTTGTCTCACTTAATTTAACTGAAAAGAGCTACAATCAAAAAAAGGTTTAAAAAAACAAGCAACTTGTAGTGCAGTGGGGCTACATTCCACACACAACATATTAACTTAGCCATGTAGCACCTTGCTTGTGATAATAAATTATCCTATAGCTTCATTATCAGACTATTGAAACACACCTTTCTCATCAGAAACAAAGGTGAACATTCACTAGCATAAAAATTTACTTCACATTTGAATTGGTTTTTTTAAAACCATTATAAAATACTAAATCATAAGTACTTTTATTAATAATTTTCATTTTCTATGTAGTTGATCACTTCAATTACGTAGTTAATTATCCCAAATCTGAAATGGAGAACCTTCAATGTGAAACACAGTGAGATTAAATGCTGTGCTTAAAGGGTATGCTAGGCAATGACAGTTGGGCAAAATTTCCAGGCTACCTAATTCCTAGGCCCATATTCCATTCATTAGACCAATAATCTCTTTGTGATCCATAGCTCTAAAATGACTAGAGAATTACCTTCCCCCACCTTTAATCCAACATACACAATTTATTAAATCCCTGAAACTTTGGAGACTTTTTGCTCTTTCAAAGGCCATCATCAGTGGTACAGAAGAGAAATCTCACAGGTATCTACAGCTTTAAAAGATTATGGACATACCACCATTTAAAAACTTTTGAAGTTTGCATTCTAACAAATAAACAACCAAGAGTTTTATTTTTCCCCCAATACCCAAAACATTATACACATTGACACATACAGTACTCAACCAGAGACAAACAAGTTTTATAAATAGTTCTTGTTAATTCTAGAACAACAGAAAAACCAGTGTGAAACACAGTTTCAGTAACACTTCTTATTTATGTGGAGTCAGTTTAATAGAATAACATAAGCATACATGAAGTTTAAATAGGCAGCAACGTCTGGGGTGTTCTTTAGATACTTTGCTATGTTCCTAAGTAAGAACTAAATATACTATGAGGGATTAAATACTGAGCCCACCTCTGAGGCAGTTTTAACATCTTCAAGTAGCTGAGCTGGTGTTGATGTGTTCTTCCTATACTGTTCAAAAAGGTAATTTTGTCTTGTTCTCTTAATGATCTGCAAAGCAGAAACACAATAGTTAGAGAAAAAGTAAATAAACTACTCAACATCAATGCTTTCCAGAATCCCTACGTACTTAACAAGGTACAAGAAACACATGCAGTAATATAAATCAAACACCATAGACAGCAAATTTGCTATCTCAACAAATTACATATGTCAACAACAGGCAGTTAAACAAGCAAATAAGTTATCTTTGTAAAATGCTTAGTGCTCATGATTTATAAAAGCATTCACTTGCATACAAGAACAAAGTCTTCTTCAGAAAAAAGAAAAATCAGTGACTTTGTGTCTAAAACAAATGCCTTAGTAAGTATATATAATTGATCTTGGCTTATCAAATGGCAATTACACTCTGAATTCCATGCATAAACTTAGTAGTTTAGATTACAATTTAAAAAAATCATACCTTATCATCAATATCCGTAATATTCATACAATAGAAAACATCAAATTTAAAATAATCCCTTAAGATTCTTCTCAGGATATCAAATGAGATGTATGACCTAAAAAGATATCATTTTTTCTTAAATGAACAGCTTGAACATACTTCTATTTCATGCAATAACTACTTTAACCTCAGCCAATACTGCTATAGCAGTTTCAACTTTTCCTTATACTGGAAAGTTTTTCCCCACACAATAACAGAATATACTTCTAACCCTAAATCTCAAGAGTTTAGTCTGACAAACTACTTTCCAGAAAGACACTCATCTAAATAAAATACAAGGGCTGCTCTGAAAGTAATGCCTTCTATTTTATTATCTTGGCCCATGACGTCAGAGGTGGATGTTGGTGGTATTGCAACACAGGTTGAACCTTCCCATTGTATTTTAGTGCCATGTGATGGATGGCAGCGGAGGGGCAGTCTGACAAAATGGCGTCAGACGTGGAAGCGTGGATGAAGGAAAGGTGTGTCACTGTATTCCACCATGCAGAAAAATGGCACCCACTGACATTCATCAACGCTTGCTGAACATTTCTGGAGACAAGGCAATGAATGTGAGCACAGTGAGGCGGTGAGTGGTGCACTTCAGCAGTGGCAACAGCAGGTCACCTCTGCTGGTGTAGATAGTTATGAGCATGGCATGCAGGCTCTTGCTCATCATTGGCGAAAACACAAAACTGATGGTTGTGACTATGTTGAAAAACTGAGAATTTGCTCTACTAGTATTAGTGTGCTCTTTGTATCTGTTGGAGTGTCCATGGGAATTAACAGGAGGCATTACCTTCTGAGCAATTCTGCATATATTTTCCTATTTAATTCCTTTCTTACTGTATGCAATGTTATTACTTGCATCAAAATTAGGAACTGCAGTACCTGGCATGTCCCATGTGAGAAGCATCATATACTGTTGGACCACAGCAATACCACGTGACTTTTTTTCCATTCTGCGGCTGAAATATTTCCTTAATTGAAAGGGATGGGACAGTGAGCAGAAGGAATTGAAGACGTGATCTCAACCAAAACCACCACGTTTGGAATATCAGAACATGAAAATATAGTGGTTATCCCACTCCCAGTTTTACTATAAGAAAAGGTTACCGCTAGCACATAAGGGAGAACATAAGCAGCCAGGCACTGCTATCTGCACTGCCATCAGTTCAGATATCAAATTAAAAAGATTTACATTAGGCAAGCTATTTTCCAAGTTGTGCATGTAAAATGGAACGTTAGGCATAGAAAAAGGTTATATGGTATATCAAGTTCACACATTCTTGAATATTACGTACCATATAACATCAGTATTCTCAGCATTTCCTCTCCTTCCCAAAGCACCTTCAACCAAGACCATAGGATGTTTTGCCAGTTTATACTATAAGCTTATAACTTGCAAGATTTTTTTTTACACAGGGCAAAGTATATAAAAAAGAAACAGATTTTATACTGTTTATGCTGCCTATACTTATCTATATTACAGAGGAACCACTGGCTATTCTGGATGATGATAAACTGCTATTTCATATTACACATTAAGGAATACACACGCACATGTATATTGACTGTGCACATTATGGCACCTGCCTCAGCAAACACACTTGACTGAGGCAACATCTCTGTCACCTTCATGTGACAAAATAAAACTCAGAAACCTGTCTATTGATTTGGAATACAATTAAGCAAGCATTTGACAACTCTCCCATTTGTGTTTTAAGGAGAACCTTCAGTTTTCTTTCATTTGGTCACCTTATTGCGAGTCAGGCTGTTGTAGAGGCAGAGTCTAGAATGTTTTGTCCCTTCGGGAGGAGACCAAGGAGGCTGCATACGTTTGCCTTTACCTAGGAAAAACACAATTTAAAGAGAACTGAAAATGTAAACAAGTTTACAGTGTAACATTTCCTCCTTATCACATTGTTAGTTCAATATATACATATATGTATAATTACAGAAAACAACTCCAATCGTAGTAGTCTAAACTATGTTTGTTAGAGCTACAGCCACTAAAATGCCACTAAAAGCAAAGTAAACACTTTCAATCTCATTTATTTTCTGCCCTCTCATTTGCCACTCATTACTTTTTGATTTAAGTAATGAGGGGAAAAAAGGGTATTCAAGTGAGAGCATGCAATCAATTAATCATTAACAAAAGATCATAAACATAACACAATACTAATAAGGTGTCATGGCAGTCCTGGGCTTTCTGCAATGCCACTGTTCTCACTGTGAGAGCACATCACAAATCTACAGAGAATTTGCAAAAAAGTCTTCAGAAACCTGACTTCATCTCTACAGCCAGTATCAACACTGTGTACTCAGTGGGAGAGGAGACCAAAAGGTTCAGAGAGAACTTTTCCTTTTAATTCTATATGGCTGCTATGTGCACAAGGCATTTCTGAACATTTTATTTACCATAGATACGCCCCAATTGAGCACAGGGCTCAATTCTGCCATTAAGCAAAGCAGATAAAGCTCAGGTGATATTAGTGAACAATACCCAAAGAGACTGGAAGAAGTGTAACAACTGCTTTGTGGGGAACTTTCTTATTTTAAAACCTGCCTTTAAGGTAAGAAGGAATAAAGCAGTTTCAATACTTTGCAACATAGTAGAAATTCTTAAACAGTGTTACATATGCACAAATAGTGTAATATAAAATACAGAGCAAAGTGAAAGTGTTGTCAAAACAGAAAGTTTATACTTCATCAGTATATTTCAAAGCACTTTTTCTTTGCCAAGTTCCTGATTTTTGCTTTGGCATTTTTCTGTATGACCATCACCAAGATGATTGTGTCCAGAAGAAATCCTGTTTCAACAAATCAGTGTTCACAGAACAAAAACTTTTTTTTTTTTTTCCATCACAACGAATACCAAGAGCTCACTTTAAATGGTGGGACAGTAAGTCCAAGCACCACTTTTCAAACCAATGAAGAGCCATTCAACATGGAATATTCTGTACTATCTGGGGGGCATCGGACACACCTTGCCATTTTTGGAAGGATGGAACATCCCTGTGCACTGTAGCCTTCAGCTGCTGCACGTTAAGGGTGGGACTGAGTAGGGTTATCCTTGCATTTATTTGCTTTTCTAACATTATTAAACTCATTTTTTAAAGGCTAGCATGAGCACATCATCTGCCAAAGAGCTGCAGTTTGCCATGCACAGGGCTGCTTATAGCTGTAATGATGTTATGTTAGTTACTGTGTTAACCTGGAAGGGAAGCAAAACTCAACAATATAACAAAGCTGCCAGGTTAATATATACAGTACCATCCTTAGGAATCCTCATTTAAACTGCAATTAAAATATTATATAAACTATTTGTTTTGACAATCAAATTGCCTTTCTGATTCTATCGGAGGATGTTCTTTATGAAATCTGTTTCTCTAATACCTTCACACAAACACTTTGACTGAAAACCTACAAGTTACATAAACACCTGTGGTATAAAAAGAGGTAATCTCCTCCTCACCTCCCTCTTTTTGAATAACTGCCTGAATAAGAAAAAAAAAATAACCACAGTACTCTAATAGTCTCATTAAAGGACTCCATTTGATCTCCATCTTATGGATCCACAGAAATGTGTTTATTCTATGTATTTTATTGTATGTTACTGACTTCAATGCTATAGCTGTCTATCCATAACACAGAGCATACAGCAAGGTATGGATTTGTTTACTCTTTGATCTAGAAGATTACCCTGGTATGCTTAATTGCGGCTAAAGCTTCCCCCAGGGGAGGAAGCCTATGTGGGTTAGTCTAACAAAAGATAAAGCAGTAAAGCTTCTTTTTTTATTTTTTTTTTTAACTTATAACCAGACTAAACATGAGGAAACAAACAAACAAACAGAGGAACTGAGATAAGGAGAAGATACTGCACCCCAAAGTTCTCAGTTTGTGAACTAGCTGCCACATTATATCCACTACATGGACACCAAGGGCAAAGCAACAGGCATGCTTTTCAGTCCGCTCAAACACATCCCTGCCAACAGCAACTTTCCCCCTGCTGAACCAAAGTTCATTTGCTCTAAGCCATTTCTGGGGCACTCTGATGTATCCAAAAACACACTGGCCTAAGAAGCTTGGCAGATCCATATGATATTTCACACTGAACACTGCAGAGCATTTTTTCAGGACTTGCAATATGTACGCACAGATCATAAAGCTAACAAGACACAACCACTGAGGAAAAGAGGCTTAACGTCAAAGATCTAATGGACAGGAAAACTGAAAGCTTTTCTTGTCTTGCCCCACCTTGATCCATGAAATCCTGCAGGCAAACAGCAGTTAGTGGCATTAAATCTGCTACCAGAGCCAGTGGTACAGCTGAGATCCCTCGACTGCTGAAAGGAAATCAATAACCAGCAGAAATGCATGGAGGCACACACATGGATACGCAGCCCACTCATAGGGTCTGACTTTAACTGCTGCTCTGCTAGGAACTGAGAACAGTATGATGACAGGTTGTGAGAAGATGTCATTGGAGTCATATTAGTCAACAACCGCCAGTCAAAATGACAAACACCTTTTGCATTCATTTACAGATCTTGCAAGCACTGTAAAACAGCTCTGTGTTATTATTATTATTTCATGACTCCCAGAGCAAGGCTCTCACTATAAAGCAATTACATTAGACTAGCTCACTGGAAATCATCTAAGGAGAATGATGCAGCTCCCAAAAATGCCAGCGCCCATGGTTACTGCATGACCTGGATTAACCTCTTAGTATTTCCTCAAATCATCGGCAACTCCTAAATGACCAGGATTAAAAAAGAACCCCAAACATTCCTTTCAAAATTCAGTGTTAATAACAATCTTCAGAAACAGTATGCAGTTTACTTTATTACAAGAGGGAAAAAAAATCACAGAACAAATTGGGCTATTGTAGGAAACCAGCCAAAACCCACATATCCATTTACTATTCATTGGCAAGCTTTCTAAAGAAAATACAAATAATCAAATTTGGATTTGATAATCAAACATTGAGGAGCTCTAAAACCAAAGAGTTGTGGAAACAGCTGTAACACTCAAATAGCTCAGGATTCATCAGTTACACAGTAACAGTACACAAAAAGAATTTCATGAGCTTGAATACAAGTGGATACAGTAAACTGTAAACTGTGCAAGAGAGTACAAAAGGAAACTTTTAGTTCTCAGCAGGAAAAACGATTAGTGGCAGCTAGTTTATAACCTGCCCACCAAGTTCATATTACTCACTTGTTTGAAGTTTACAAGGGTCATTTTTTTCACTGCTGCCATCATAGATTGCTTCTATGTGTCTGTACCACCGGACAACATGGAAATACTGGTCCACAGGTGGCCCCGAAAACTTTCTGAACACCTCCACATCTGCATGTGAAAATGTGAACCCCTGGATATAACTACGAGTGCTCAGGTACTCGTTCAAAGCCTTCACCCTGGCTTCCTCTTCACTAATGCTCAGAATAAAACTGTAGCTGGAAGCTGTAAAGACAGAGGCACAGGACATTTAGTCAGCATTAAAAGAAGGAGATCCCATGACCAAAATATATCCTTATACTACACATCACCCCCTCCAAATTAGCTGTGGCAACTGACAAGAAATTTGAGAGAAATGTATTTAATACAAGATAATGAATAACTACTCATTTTCGATTAATAGGTTTATGCTCACACTGTGGTACGTAGACCACCCTCTCTCCTCAGACATGAATAACACTTAAAATGAATATGATTAAAGAGATGTACAGAAGGACACTGGCATGTGCTTCTCCTTCACAACTGCTCAGTTCTACAATTTATTTGGTACATGGGCAACGCGGGTTTAATTATGCTTCATCTTTGCAAACACAAGAACGTGCTCCTATAGAGGAAGCAACCAAAGGGAACTCACAGTAATGGCATGCCCTCTGCAAGCCAGTGGATATGAAGCCTAACCCTGACATTTTCCTATGGTGATTCAACATCTGAACCTCTGTTCATGTTCAAAGCACTGTGTAAACATTAAGCCACCATCCTGCTTGGGTAGTTAGCCAAGAAAGTAATTTAAGACATGGCCAAGGACAATAACGTGTGAGGGAGGCAGTAATAGAACACCTGTCCCTATTCCCGAGTCCTACAGGGATCACTGTCACAAATGCTGCTTTCTGCACTGGCAGAACCTTTTCTGCACAAGCAGCTTCCAAAGGCCAAAACTCTTGGGAAGGGAAGGATGAAAGGTGCCCGAGGAAAGTAGGGGAAGGTGCAAGGAACTGCAGAATCATAGAACGTCCTGGATTGAAAAGGACCACAATGATCACCTAGTTCCAACCCCCTGCTAAGTGCAGGGTCGCCAACCAGCAGACCAGGCTGCCCAGAGCCACATCCAGCCTGGCCTTGAATGCCTCCAGGGATGGGGCATCCACAGCCTCCTTGGGCAACCTGTTCCAGTGCCTCAGCACCCTCTGTGTGAAAAACTTTAACTAAAAAGTTTTTTTTTCACACAAATATTATCAGTTAGGACCTCACGAGCAACTCATTTCCTGCATGAAAATCAATTATTAAAGTAATCTAGTAAAAATTAAACAGCTGCTCTCAAGGAAAAGAGGAACTCTGATAAGAGGGAAATGGCAGCTTGATGCTGAGTACATTTGTGTTTGACTTTCTTGAGCACAGCAAGATAAGTGGCACAACACTTTAGAGCCCATCAGAACAAACGTAAAAAATCAGAGGTAGAAAAAATAAAAACTAAAAGTCACCAACAATATTAAAAATTCATACACCGAGGCAGAATTACCCTATGTTCCCAGTCCTTCTCGAGGGCTGTCCATGTAATTGTTAATTCTAAATAAGGAGTAACAAGTCAGTAATGGTTCACAGTGAGGCTGTACACCTAGCCTTACCCAGCTGAATGGGATGTGGCTTTGGCTCACACAGTTACTTTTACTACAGACTTTTCAGGCTCCCAAATATTTACTGATATTTATCAACATGGAACTTTACATGTTTATACAGAGTAAGTAGTTTGAAACAGTTACCTTCAAGAACTATAGAAACCTAAGACAAGTGAATTTTGTGTCCATGAATCAAATGATGGAAAAACAAATGGCAGGGATAATCTGTATAAAAATGAAACTATATCTCAAAGAAAAGATCTTTAAAGATCTGTTGCAAGGAAAGCAACACTCCACTCACTAAGTATTATTAGGGTTATTATGGCCATTAATCATACACCAGGCTGCTAATGGGAATCAACTCAGTGTATCTGAAACAGTATAACTGCTTTCCAACCACATCTATAAACCAATCTAAAAGGGGAAGTTGTACAAACACACACACAAATAAAACAAAGATGACAGAACCCGTATACGCTACTTTTAGTGAGGAGAGGCAGCAAACACAGCTGGTACCAGTTCAGTCCTGGTAAGCAGGATAGACAAAATTCATTTGAACAATCTCAGTGCACACGTTAATACCTGAAATTATAAGTCTGACATTATGCCTCAGTGTAAGAGCAGCCAACTCAGAAGTATAATGCATCAGAGAAACCAGTTAGCCCAGGGAACCTAATAGAAGGGAGGTCTTTATGTTGAGAAAGATCACTGACTCAAATTCAGCTCCTACAAAGAATGAATACAATAACACTGTACTTGGAAGGCAGCATACCACAGAGAAGTAGTGCCATTTGTTTTTATGGAAAACAAATCAGTCAAGACTATCTTTCTATAAAAGTCTGTTCCAATCTCCTTGCTATCACAATAAAAACAGGAGTAGTCACTCTGCAGAAGTCTGTTTTCCTGGTATTTACACCTGTACTCTCAATCCCTCCCCATCAGGATATCACAATACCTTCAATTCATTACACATTCCCACTGAAATACTTCCTGGTCTTTCTTCATGTACTTTCCTCACAAACCTCAGCAACTCCAGGCTCTCCTACATCTCTGACCCATCTTCGCTCGGTCTGCCAGCTGTCTGCAAAGGGACAGCCCACTGCAGAATTTAATTAACACCAATCTATGGATTCAACAACTATTGACAGGCCAATGGACACATACGGCACCAAGTTTCCTAACACTGGTCTTTAAGAACCTATGCTAATAAATTGATTATTCTCTTGAACTATAATTTTCTCTTTTCTCCTAAAATAGAAACTGCAGTTGCTGCTTCTCAGCAGCACTGGGAAGCGTCTTCTTGGCTACAGAGCTGTTGCATAAGAACGCTGAATTCACTCATATGAATGGAATGATCCACAGATTCTAAATCACATCACCTGTGAGCAGCTCCATTCAGAAAACAAGCACTGTGCACAAAGTGGTGGAAAGGAAGCAAAACAACCTTCAAAAATCCTAAGAATGAATATTGCTAATGTAACGCTCTCCCATCATTAGAAGTTGTTTCAAAAAAATTCCACTGTAGACACTAATACAGCCCTCACACAGTAATTGCTGGTGTGCAGTCTCTTTGAGCAATGTAATTGTCACACATTCTTCTTTCCATACGCAGAAGGCTTTGGTGACAGCTGGGGGTACTGGGAAACAGGCTGGAAGGCTGCAGCAAACACAGACTCAAAAGAATAAGCAAACAGCTTTCAAAGTTTAATCGTGAAGTGAGATACACATTATAACAAATTTGATGGAAATTTTCACTTTTATTCATTTGAAAAAGGTAACAAAAGCATAATGTCCCAAAACCATCTGCTCCTTGAAAAAGGAAACAAAAGCTTCCAAAAACCTCTGTTCCTTGTAGGTTCTGACAGCAAAGTGTATACAGGAAAGCCATAAAGCAGGCAGAAAGGTCACTTAAACAGAAAACAGAAGCTATTTTGCTTCAGGGAAGAATTAAGTTTCCTGGGCATCCCCGAACCTGCTGACCTTGTGGGTCACACCTGTAAGCCAACCGGAACGCCCTGGGGTTTCTGTGGTTGCATTCTCTGAGAGGAAACCTTAGTATTCGGAGTATTTTCAAGAGTCATTTCTTGTCCAACTGAGCTTTCACAAAATAAAATAACTCATAAAAGAAGCTGGTAACATATCGCTATTACTGCAGCTCCAAACTGAGAGCCAGAAATGGGGCTTCCCTAGACTCGCATGTGGGGATCAGGGTGCTGATAGCAGTTATGGGGTTTTAGGACAGGCATATACCACCACGGGAGTTGCTCAGACCTATTCACTTCAGCCCTATGAGTTCCACTTTCCATTTTCCCAAACTGAAACCAGATCACAGTCCAGGTCCAGCACCAGGGCTATTCTACCATGAAGGAATGGAACTAAAAACGTTTCTTAAGCGCAATCCAAAATTGAGCATTTGGTGTCAGACTAAAACGCTGACAAAAAGCCGGGGCTTGGAAATGGGCATTTCTGGACACAGGAATGGTAAGAAAAGAGGGAAATAACTTTTAGCAATCCAGAAAAAAGGGACAAAATCTTAGAACCTCAGCTGGAATGACACAAATTTCCAGCCCCTGACGTACCATCGTGGTATTTCACTCTTGTATGACTGGTATTCCGAGTTTATATTTGCTACAGGAGAGCCCCGTCCCTCCTTCCATACGGAAGAGAACAGGCGCAAATAAAGAAAATGATAATAAAATAATACAAACCCGTCGAGAAAAAAAAACAGAAGTTGCACCTCAGAAATACGTCGCGGTGGGGACGGCGGCGGCGACCCCGCAACGCACTTTGTGCGTTGCGGGGTCGCCGCCGCCGTCCCCACCGCTGAAGGGGGAGATCGAGGCGACGTCCCCGCCGCCATTTCGCGCCCCGACGCCCCCCGCCGGCCGCCATTTCGCGCCCCCCCAGCACCTCGCGCGCCGCCTGACAGAAGCTCCGCTCGGCGGCCCCCCCGCCCCGCCGCGTGACGTCACGGCGCCCACCTGACGCTCTGACAGCGGCCGGGGCCATGACATCATCCCGGCGAACGCCCTCAGCGCCTTCACGGCACCGTGACAGTCCCGGAGAACGCCTGCCCTCGCCTCGCCGGGCCCCCTGGGATGAGCCGCGACTCCCTCCGCACACCTACCCTGTTCGGCTGGGGCCGCTGCCATCCTGCCGCCTCCACCTCTCGCCGCCGAGCTGATGCAACAGCGTGCCCGGAAGCGGCTCCCGCCTCGCCCCGCCCAGCCCGCGCTACGCTACTTCCGATCTGTGGTCGCTATGGCAACCGGCCCCGCGCCTCTCGGCCCCGCCCTCAGCGCGCCTTCCCGCCTCGCGAGGGACGGGCGTCGCGCGGCTGGGCTCGTCTCAACCGCCGCCATTTTGTGCGTAGGGCTCTTCTCGCGCCCAGCCCCATCCCTCGGCCAAGAACCAGCTCCAGCCTTTGTCTTCAGTGAGTTTTTATTGCCGTACTTTGAACATTTCGCATGCCACGTGCTCCCACCACAAATGAAATGCGATTACCTTGTAAACAAAAATAAGGCAGTTCAGTCAAAAACTGCAACGGGTGTTCTCGGCTCCACAGAGCGCAATAAAGGTAGCTTCTTTCCTCACAGCTTCACAAAGGAAAGGCAAACTCAGAAGCTCAGAGCTCCTAAATTGCCACTGGCACCTGAGTTTTCACAGTGTACTACTCAAAAAAGCCCAAATCAAATAAAATAAAGCAAATATTGCCGCTGGAGTCTTGTCACAACTCAGCACAGGCTGTGTTAAATGACTTCCAGCCCGCGTGCAGGTAAGAAGGGCATCACATCCGCACAGCCACTGTTACCTGCAGCTTACGACATCCTCACTTATACAAGCTTCCTATATACATACAGGAACATTTCTGAAATTCATTGGAAATGTTAAGCTGTAGCTTCTATTTTACTTATAATGTTATTACTTGTTAAAGTGTGGACTATTTTACTGTAAGCCCTGGTATCTATATCCCTTAGCTCATCCAGTAACTTAATAATAGTTTGTTTCTCCCCCAGCATGTTTTTCCAGGTGAGAAGCATCTGATAAAATTGCTCATCTGTGTCATTAGGCCACTTATACTCAATTTTATCAATAACATTTTCCTCCAGATGAGTTCTCATAAGCTTCCTCCATTTTTTCACCGGTACTGTATTAATAAAAGCAAAAAAGCAATCCATCTGTTCTGAAAAGGAAAAAAAAAAAAAAAAAAAAAAAGCATATTACTTCAGGTTCCAAAATATAGTATGTCTTTCCTCTGCAACCAATATGCACATTTCCCAATCACTTTTTAGCTAATGCATGCACAGACTAAACAGTGGCAGCAAGATTAGGCTTGTCATCTAAGAAGCAATAGGACAAACAGGCTTCCTACTTACCTTAACAAACTAAAGGTATCAGTCTGTACATCTAAAAAGTATTCTCAAGACAAAATATTATTCAGTAACGGAGGCTTTAGGGAATATTTCACTGACTTGCATGTTTTTACTTAGTCTTAACACAGCTACTCAACTGTAGCCTTTAAACACCTCACTATGCTATCCGTGTAGGCATGCCAACACTAGCACTAACAAAGCCTATCACTTTGATATCCAGCACCTCAGCTTGCTGGTTACTTGTCGCGCTTTGACGCAGTCTCACATATAACAGACATTTGTCAGAACTCCTATTCTGACATGCTCCTCAGTCATTAAGGCAGTCTCACTGCTGTCATATAGACTTTTTTTATACATACTGACAAGTTCTTTACTGTGCTTATTCTTCAAAGTAAGAATGTATTATACTTCCAGAAGATCTGGGCATCAAAGTAATCTGCCACAGTGATTGTGACTTAAATACCGTAATAATTCTATTTTAGCATCTTACATTCAAATGAAAGCCTTATAGACTTAAGCAATATTCATTAGTCTCCTTGAACTATTCCTTCAGTGTATACTAAAGTCAACAAGAAAAAGCAAACTCAAACTACTTGACCATTTGTACAATACTTACCTTTTTGAGTCAGATCTTTAACGATTATTTGACATTTTTGCTTTTGTACCTGTGATTAAAAAAAAAGTTGGACCATTACTGTAGCATGTCAGAACACTGAATTCACAATTAACTGAGCTTCTGAGCTACTCAATAGATTACTTTCAGTGTATATGTGCCAATAAAAGAGTGGGGAAAGCTTCACAGCACAGCTGAAAAAAAATGAGTAAAGAAAACAGCATGCTGAAAGCAGATGTGCTACTTACTATCTAAGAAGTGAAGCAACAAGGCAACATATTTGCTGCTATTGCAAAAGAACTGCACTTGTACAAACTCTGAACAAAAAGGTGAGAAGTACTGCAGATTAAAGGCTGAACTGAAGTTTGCTTTCCCAAGATATCACTTCCCATATTTTCTACTGTATCTTTTAAGCAAAGGCTCCACTTCCTTATAATACTGTCTTGAAAACAGCATCTATTACTCATGGAAGAGGGAAGAGGTCAATTCAAATTATACCTATATCAGTAAAAAACATTATGAGATTATTTTTCCCTGACTTACCATATGATATGCTGGCATCTTAACACCCCTTTCTGCACACTGGGCATTTGGTTGAAAAGTAGGATTACAACTATTTTTTGTAGATGATGACCAGTTTTTGATCCTCTTCCAACATTCTTGTGTTTGGTACCACAAGTTCTTCTGTGAGATGGTGCCTCTCTCATAAGACACAGCATTGTTTTCCTCTGGAGATGTGTTTTTCACTTCCAAATTAACACTATAGTACGCTTGGCCCTCTGAGTTCTCACCAGAGTTCTCACTGTCTGGATGGGATGCATTATTTTCAGTTATCTTCACTTCTGATAAAAGTGTATTATCTTCATATGCCTATAAAGAAAAATAACTTATTTTAGAAGTTTCATAGACAGAGCTCTGTGGACAGTTTAGAGGAAGAAAACAGAATACTTGAAATCACCAGTATCAAAGAAAAAAATAGGAGAGGTGCTGATTAAGTGAAGTTAAAAAAAAATATGCAACACAGCCTTTATAGATGTATTTCAATCAGTCTTAGAGCCTAAACTCTTCACCTTGCTGGCTGTTCTGCTTCCTCTAGACTGCATGGTAACTCTCATAATCTATCCACAACAACTGCAAGGAATTTTTCCATGTATTTTCACTGCTTGCTCCTCCCTGGGTATAGAAGAGGCATACCCGTCCTAAGCAGGAAAGAATGCAGTTGCCACAGTGCACCTAAGCTAAAATGACCAATCAGCCTGCTAACAGGCTTTAAACCTATCACTGTATGAAGTTCAGAGCTTTGCTGAGCTGACAGACCATTATCAGCTCTCTGTGAGTGTACTAATATGCACTTGTTTGTTTTTAAGTAGGTTTTCCTCACATTCACACAACAGACCCAGTTCAAAGAAGGTACCAGAGCAAACTGTATATCTTTAGCTAGGGGAATAAAGGTAGGGGGAAGTATCACTTTCTGCATTATCAACGCATTAAATAAGCCTGTGACCACAGTTCCCCTCAGGGTGACAGTGACCCACAGGGAGTAGTAGAAGCATGAAACAGACCAGCAATGTATAGAGTTTATCAGCTTGTGTTGAAAGCAAAAGTTTTCAGGCAGCATTGATTTATTTATTTGAAGTAGAAAGTAAGGACAAGTGTTAATTGTTTCTCCCATAAGACTTGGTTTTAAGATACATTCCCCCATAAGCAACTGGACACTTTGTTTGTATGAGGTCAGCGGCCACACAACACCAGCACACATAGGCAGGGATGCGACAGGAGCCAACCTACTCAGCACATTTGTAGTTTGGCTCTATCTTCACTGAATCCATTTTAAGGATGCAAATGAAATAAACAAGCTGCTCCTACCTACATAAAAAGTTCTTATATAGGTCACCTAAAGGCTTACAGCATGGTTGACTTACAGCTGCTGACCAATTTGGGAAATAAGATAGCAGCAATATACTTATAATGCATGCATTTTACTGTACAATAAGTTTACTAACACTCCCAAGGACGATGTGCTGGTGCTTCAAGTGTCTGGTCTGAGGACCATGCAACTCTCCAATTATCTTAATTACAGTAGCATGAATTCTCTAAGTACATGGGTACTGCAAGTCATGGTTGTTACAGTTACTTTATAGATAAGCATCATCATATACAAGTTTGTGATTACAGTCCACCTACAGTTTTATTCAAAAAAACAGAAAGTAATTATTTCTGCCTGTTCCTATACTACACCAGTTTGACCAGGTATTTTGCCATGTTCCTTCATCAGCTTCTACAAGAACATGAAGCACTGTGAACCTGGCCAGGGTGCAGGAAGAAACAACCTGACAAAACCTATTGGATGATTCATATATTTGAGCCACTTATGGACCTTAAAAAAAAAAAAGAAAAGAAGAATTTAAGGTAATGTTTTGATGACCTCTCAATTCTGTCCCTTCAGTCTTTGAATATTTGTGACATTTAAAATGCATTTAATTACTTGAAATGTTTAACTAGTAAAATTAGACAAAAGCTCACGCATAAAGGGAGTAGTACTTGTATTGGGTAAGAGACAAAAAAGATGCATGTATTTTTCTGCTACATGCGCCATGAGGAATGTGGATCCTTTTCTTAAATTCTGAAGACATTTTAGAGCCTGGTATTAAGCATCATTAACTACTCCATTGAGATCAAACTTCTTTATATCTTGCTGTGCAGTTAGGAGTGTAACTTTATTCAGAAATTTCTAAATAGAGAAGCCAAATACTATTTAACTAGTCTACTTATCTCACTAAATACAAGACTAGAAATCATGTAGTTCTGTTGAAAGGGAGACATACAGAGATTATCAAGTCCAATTGCCTTGAGACCAAAAGCAAGTTATTAAGTGGCATTGTTTTCTGACTGTGTAGAAGTAAGGTTCTTAAACAGTCCTTGACTCCAGGGTGGCCAGGGTGAAAACAGCTTTATCAGCTAAACATGCATCAGCAGCAAGCCTTAGTGTGGTAAGCCATTTGCAGGGCTGTCACCCTGAACTGGCATGCTCTGAGCCATGAACTCCTTGATTTATGGGACAGTCTTGGATCAAGGCATTAGACTGTAGGTCCTGCTTCGTAGCTTGCAGGAGATTCAGTTACTTTGTCTGCTGACCACAAGAAGTAATCTTATGGTCTAGCTTTCCTTGCATTTTGAGTATATCAGCATGCAGGAAAGAGATAGCTGTCACTATCAAGGAATACAAGCATGAAGTAACAAATAACCAATCGAATCAAAGCATCGCTCAGCAACAGCTTGAAGTGAACACTTGTACTTAGTGTATTTCCTCCCTTACCCACCCAGTTTTGCAACATCTTGGACACAGGCTCTGTAATATTTCCAAAGCAAGAACCAGGAAGGCCCATTTCAATGGAAGTGAATACATGAAATATAAAATCAACTAGTTGCACCTCAGGAACGCATCCCACCAGAGGCATATAGGGAGACAAAAAGAAAATCAGGAGCTGTGTAACAAGCAGTTAGTCATGCAAAACTTAATCCTTTATATACTTACCAGGCCCCTCTCTTCTTTGTCAGAGAAAGTGGCTGGAAAATAAAATTAAAGCTTAAGATAGTTCTGGAAATTGCTGTAAGTTAAACACAGCTAAACTCATGCAGTAGTTATATATAATAGACTTTTTACATAAGCCAAAGCTCCAGAACCAGTCATTAAGTTTCTTTGAAAGGACAGTCTTTACATGGAGAACTGCCCTTAGCTTCCACCAACAGTGGAAACAGTGACAAGCAGTCCTGCTGCATGAGACAGGTCTCAAAATGCAGTTTGGATTTTAAAACACTCTCCCCATCCCCAAGCCTATGCCTCTTAGGCATTTTCATGAGCTATTGCAATAGCTAAAGAAAAGGCAGAGATTGTTTCTACTGCAATAAATGCAGTAAGCTGTGGTTTGAATAAAGTTGACTTTAAAACTTTCAAATAATTCCCAATATTCTCATTTAAGCTATTCACAAAAAAATTTCAACATGCAGGAAAGGAAAAATTTTTCTCAGACAAATTTATAAATCTCTACAAGATTAATTGACAGTGGACATATCAACATTCGTACTAAGTTGTTAAAATGGCACAAGGGCAGTGAAATATATGAAAACCTTCACAGCCAAATCCAATGAATGTAAGTAATTAATGATCTGATTAGTTGCTACTTCTTGCACCCTACCTCTGAGCTCACTACTCATTTTTCTTATACCTTCATTAATACTATGAAGTAAACGAGGACCTCCCTTTACACGCCCTGTGCTAAGCTTTGAGGCTAAAGCATCCATTCCATCCTGCATCCAAGCCTGTAAGTTTTATTTACTGGATAAAACTGCTCTTCATTTTTCTCAGGCCAAACAACCTGGAGCTTGCCTATTAAGCAGGCCCCATATGATAAAGTCAAGAACAAGGATAGCCTTGGTGCACATTCTGCCTTTTTCTGCTAAGTTTGTGCATACTAATAAAGCAGAGTTACCTTTACCACTCTTACACTTCCTTATTCCGTAGAACACAAGCAAACCAGCAGAAAAAACAGCAACCAAAATTATTACAGTCATCCAAGTAAGATATTTATTTCCTGCAAATGAAAATGAACAGAATTAGAGTTTGAAGCAGTTCTCAGATGAGATAGTTGTAAGTGTGAGCCTTCCTTGCTACAGAACAAACTAAGCTACACATTAGTATAATGCTCCAGCTGTTGTGGAAGACATGCTGGGTATTTCAGCTGACCTGAATCCAAGTACAGGTTTCCATTGCACATCATTATTCCAATAACAGTGAGGGATTCTGTACAGTGTCACAATACAAAACCCACTAAGCTTTCAGAAAAGAGAACATGCAAGAAATGAGAGAAAAAAAGTACACAAAAGATGGCATTTCAGTACTTCCAATAGGGCCCATTCCTTCCCCCCAGAGAAAAGTCACACTATACACAGCTTCTTGGATATGCTAAATATTAGAAGTGTTTGTACCATCCACCACTTCCAACAGCATCGCTGTTGATACTCCAAGAACCCTTAGCATATCTGCAGCTTTTTCACCAGTGTAACCCTTTCCTCGCAGTGAAGTTTAAGATATTTGTCTCTCCAACTCATTTGGGAACCTGTCTCTATCAAATAACTCCTAGGCTAAAACACAAGAAGTCTTAAATATGCTGCAGTAGTTCAAGCTATTGTGTCATAATCTACAATTCATACACCCAGTAGACAAGCCAAGTAATATTTGTGTACCAGACCTTGGTCAGGTAAGCCACATCCTAGGTCCATTGTAGCATTGCAGATCTGTACAATTTTTTTCCCTTCTGGACACCTAAAGTCAGTGGCAATACAGAGGTTTTTAGAAACATTTGCAGGTCTGTCCATGCCAGTTTATTTTCTGGCAAAGCTTAGAAACATTAACAGAACTTCAGCAGATGACATTAGGAATTCATCTTTCAGTTTTAAAAGAAACATTGATTAAGTAAAAGAAAAACAGATAAAGCTTATGTATGCCTCTAAGTTGAGGAAAAAGGGGTAGATGCATTCATTCAGTCAGTTTCCTCCAACAGGAAGTTCTACCTCCCTGAGTTTCAGGGTGGCTGTTACAAAGCTTATTCAGTTACCAATATGGGGGAAAGCACTAGAGAGACACAGGAAGTGCAAGCATACAGCCATATGCAACAAGACAGACAGGATCAAAATCTGCAAACTCTAGGTTTGAACCTCATTTATTTTGTCACCTAGAGCTCAGAAGCATGACCAGCACCATTAGGCTTCAAGGGAATTATTTACAGGCAAATAGCACATGGTAGGCATGACACAGATTGGGCCACAGCTGTTAAGTCTAGAAAGAACATGGTTGCTTCAGTACCCTATTTAACTTACATTCGACTGCATTTCTGACATATTTCACAGCCTTCAGCAGGGCAGAAGTATCCCTGTTTGCATTGGCATTCAGTGTCACTCGTCACAGTACAGGTTCTTGAAGTTATCTGGTCTAAAAAACAGGAGTTAGAAAACAAAGTTGTGGCTCTGCACAACTGTGCGCAAGTCATATGCTGGTCATAAACGTGATTTATTTTTTTCCAACTTCAATATTCTCAACAACTAGAAGTGCAAAAGCAGCAGAGGACCAGGCTTACTTCAAGGATTAAGGGGCCTGAAGTTAAAGATTTAATTGAAATTTTTCTTGGTACCGTCTTTGCACTGTCTGCACAGCAAGCATTCTTCCAAGCCATTTGCATGGGCAGTGTAATCTCTTCCTTCGGTGCAAGAGGCACATATTCCCTTTGAACGCGGAGTACTGCAGTGCTCAGCAACATAAGTACCTGTGGAAGAGGAGAACTGGTGGCCGCAGCAGCACTCTCAGAATGTTACAACATAAAACCATTTTTAGTCAAAGTTCAACCCTTCCTGCAAGCAAACAGCCCAACACAGGAACCAAGGGGCACCAAATGGTCAGGAAGCACAATCACAACAAAGGCAGCAGCCATCCAGGCCAAGGAACAAGTATGATTCATTACAACAGCAAGATATTGCTCACGTGGCAAGTGCCATCTTGCTGGAAGGGACATGGCAGGCACAGGAGATTTGCTTGTGCAACAGAAACAATCCAGGAGGTCTCTCATTTCCATCCAAATTCTTTAAATTCAGCCTATAGCTCTGTGATACTACCCAAAGGCAGGGTACTTCTCTGCACAAAGCTGCGTTGACTGCACAAGGAGAGAAACGGGGAGAACAAATGCAAGGTGAAGTTCTACACGCAGAACTATCAGAATTCCTCTGGGCCAACTGTTAGAAACAAAGAAGCCACCCGACTTTGAACACTTCATCCTCAGAATAGGCAGAGATTTTTCAGAACTGCTGCCAAGGCGCCTCACCCAGCCCTTATTGCACAATATCCCGCCACGAAATAAAGGCCGGCCCCGGCAGCGCCGAGGAGCCACCGGCAGCACCAGCTGGGCCTGCGCTCCTCCCTGATGGAATGTGGAATAGCGGCCCAGCCACCTGACATAGGGGGAAACGGCCGCTACCTTCCTGGAGCCTCACCTGCCGGGCACAGCATGCAGCAAATGCCTTCATACAAGTACTCTCCCTCTCCGCAGACCTCTGCGCCGCTTCCGGGCATTGTCAGCAGGGTAACCTACAGCAGAGACCAACAGGTGTTTTCAGGTGATTCATTGTGGATAGCGATCTCGGGGAGATGGTTCTGTAAGCTCACGGGAAAGCCACAAGGGAACCCAGACTAATTTCTGTTAAGTGTTCTGCTCACAGCGGTAATTACAGTCGCAAAGGATAGGTTAGGGCAGCACCGCGCTTAGAGCCGCAGCTAAAGTGCTGTAGGAAAGCTGCTCCGCCTCCCCCCCTCCATTTCTCCGCTCATTCACCGGCGACACACTTCGGAGGCTGTTTTGTACCTCTTACGAGGGATTCGTTTCGCTCTCCCTCGCCACATTTACTGTGTTATTTTAACTTAGAAAGCTCTGCGTCTTCCGTGGGACAACCAGAGGGAGAGCCCAGTGAATTCTCAGACGGCGTTTCTCCCTAGCTCCATAATCTTCAGCAGAAGACAAGTTAGTAAGACATAACGGAGAGTTACTGCAGCCACACGAGCGCTAGCAGTAAGCTTCCGTCCTCCGAAAGAAGCCCGTGTGGCTGCGCGGCACCTCCCGCGGAGCGGCACGAGGAATGAAGGCAGCCAGGTGCGCGGTGCCGGCCAGGCGGCGGGCCAGAGAGCGGTGAACTATGGCAGAAGAGGGATGGGACGGCCCCGAAGCTCCGCTTCGGCTCCGCGAGCGGCCGACTTAAAGCCGGGAGCACTCCGTTCTGCCGCCTCTCCACCCTTCTGACTTTCTCTCCGCGAGACACCGAAAGTCTTCCCCATAATTGCGGGCTTCGCGAACCCCTCAATTTCACAATTAGATAACAGAGCGCTATTAAAGATTTCACTCCCGCTTTGTCGCTCCGTTTCCTACGAGGAGAGGAAGAGCCGCAGCCTCTCTTGCGCTACTCCAGACGTCCCACGCCTCTACGGGCTCAGGAGAGCTTTGTTACCGCGGCTCCAAATCCCGAAACACAAATTAAAAACGAAAGGGAGCTACTAAAGAACTTCTGTCGGAAGCAAAGGCAGAAAACTCCATGAGGCAGGTCGGGCCGGCTGGCCCAGGTCAACGCGAGAGAACACTTTTTACCCTCCTGGGATGACCCAGGGCAGACAGCGGACGGGCATCAACCCCTCCCCCCCACTCACCACCCTCCCTGCCCCGGCACTCACCAGCAGCAGTCCCACCGCCCACGTTCCCATCGTGGCGCCCGGCCCAGCTTCAGCGCGCTGCCCTTCGCTCACGGCTAAACTCAAAGCGAGGCACCTCCGCCTCCTTTTTATAGGGCCCAGCCCCATCTAGCCTCCGCCCCGCGGTTGAACAAGAAAGGGCATCGGGCAGCAGCTACGCAAGTATGTCGAAAACGCGCTTCTGAGCGGGGGTCCCACGTTAGGGTATGTCCCGGTAGCTTCCTTTGCACTTAACAAGAGCAGGAGGAAGCTGGGGTGACACGTTGGGAATTGGACCGGTTCCTGGCTTTCCAACCAAATCTCTCATCCTGTTGCTAAAGGGCTGATTGCTGATCGTACAAAAGAGAGGCAAAGACTGGAAGAATTGCTCAAAACTCACACAAACAGGGTGCATAACCGGGCTTTCTTAATTGCCAAAAGGTTTCTCGAATTTTTCAACATCAGGGTACTGCTCCCGGACAAATAACAGCAGCGTAACTGGCATGTAGCAGCATTCATCTCCAGATGTTGAAATTGGATCAAAAATAATAGCATAAGAACGCTTAGATATTTTCTTTGGGGATTATTTTTCAATCCCTTGTGGCAGTGGCATTAAATGTCAGAAACGTCTCTGCTGATGCGTAATTAATTTCTATAGATTAATAGTTTCTTTCATTGAAGTATTCCTCTCACGGTAACATTTATTTTATTTGACTGCAGTAACAAGTCCCAGTGAAATCCCTGTGGATGTGTAGTTTTGCAAAATGGAAAGGATCCAAAGAACCTGAAGCATTCATCTCACACTTTGTAAAGGCTTCCTGTTCGGCACTGCTTTTCTTTGGATCAAATTTTTTTTTTTTTTTTTTTTTTTTTGTGACTATTATTTTCTCAAACCCAGATTAGTATATATGTATATATTTACTTCTTTTGACACCAGTCAAATATAACTATTCCCTTGGAAGAGCAGAGGCTCCTCTCAGTGGCTTTGTCCCAAAGGGGGATGTGCCTGATGAGGAAGGCTGTGCTGACAGGCCAGAGATGTGCACAAGTATTCAAAGTAAGATTATGCAGGAAATTAGTAGGTATGTTTGCACAACTTCAGGAGCAAACATTTCCAAGGTCCATATAGGACCTTGCATAGCCAGAGACTGAACACTATTCCATAGGCACAGGCCAGGGGGACAGGCTTCCTTGAGATTTACCCTGTATGGATCAGACTTTCTCAGAAGGGAGTGGCTCAGATGATGCATTCCAAAAGGTGTTGAAAATGTTTACATTCTTCAAGGATGAAGAATCCTTTGTTTCTTTGGAGAATTTTTCTTAATCAATCAATCTCACCAGTTAAAATTTGTGATTTGTATTAAACAAAACTGCAATGTTGACTTCTGGGTGCTGCCCCTTATCCTGTCTGTTCATATCAGAGAGTTGTGGTTTTCTTTCCACGCTGCTATCTTTTTGCTATTATCAACCTACTTCCTTAGCATTAAGGTTTACTAAGTCCAAGGTAAGTCTGTATGACAGTGAAAATCATGGCATCCACTTTTCTTTGTCTTTGGAGGAGGTCGCTGCAGCACAGTTTGAACCAGATGAATACCAAAATGCTACTGCTATTCTAAATTATTGTGTACAGCTGAATCCCTATTCATATAGTTTCTTCTCTAAAAAGCACAACTTATGAGTCATTTGCTGATAAGATACACAAATAATTTCTCAGACAGCCACTGAAAGTTGTGTGTAATTTTATTTCAACATATCAAGCACAAACAGGTTTCCCCTACTTGGGGAATATGACGAGGAATGTAGTTAAAAATTTGGAAACATTTACATTGAAAGATAGCCCAGACTGGCACCACCACTAAGTATTTTAAGGCTGTATATATAGCAGTACTTACCACTTGGATCTACTTCAGGCCAAAAAAGAAAGGCTTAGTATAGTCTGCAGTCTACAGAAAATATTGCAAATCTTTTAAAAATGGTGTAAAATAGGAAGACTATTAACAGATTTGAACAATGCAGTGGCAAAACCCTTCCTCCTTCCTGACCTTTCATTATAAAAGTGCCTACAACCAACCACATGTACACCCATTGCTCCCATCCTTCTCATCTCTCCTGGGGCAGTGATTCTTCTCTACAATGCTTTTGTGTAATATTATAAAACAGCCATATAGCAAATAATAACAATAATAGTATGTGACCAGGTTTTACAAACAGACATATCTAACATGGTGCTCCATGGGCCCAGTGCAGGACACCAATCAGCTCTGGAAGTGAATCAGGAGCTTTCACTGAATACTTCTCATTTGCTAAAGAGGAATGGCACTCGGAAGTTGTGCATATTTACAACTACCGTGGAATGGAAAACAAAATATCCTGAGGTCCCGTTCTGCGTGTGTGTGCTGACAAAACAAATTATGACCTAATATCCTGGGGGGTGGATTTTTTGGACCAAGTATGCTCCCTCCCATAATTAAATGCAGCCAGACGGGCACAGTGAACATCAGTTCTGTACAGCTCCCCAGCTATACTCCCTTCCTTGGAGAGCTATAAACCAGGCATGTGTGCCTCTTTTAAAACACTCCTTTTGGGGGTACAAACACATTTTGGGGGTACCAATACCGGTGGGTAATTAGTAATTGCATCAGAAAATGATGAAACGTAGAAAACAAATTGCACGATTAAAGCTACATTTGGCTTCAGCATTAAGGCCCATACAGGTTAAGAGGTCCTTGAAGATGTACATGTAAAAGGCAAAAATGACATAATCTGCAGGAACAATGTTCCTAGGTCCCTTTTCCACCTTGTTTTTCAACTTTCTTCCATCTCTGCTGCGTTGGTTCTAAAGTGCTTTGGTGCCTCGCTGGACTCATCGTGTGAGTGCCCCCCCTTCCTGCAGCCAGTAGTCGTTATTGCTGCCAAACGTGGTGCATTTATTTGAAGACATAATTAATGAATAGCTGACATGTAAGAAAGATGCAAAGGAGAAACCAACAGCGAGAGTCCAGCAGAAAGCTTCCAGAAGAGACCTTCCTGTGGAAGGATTTTTTGTTCAGAGCGCTGAGGTTTCTGGAAGAGAAAGAAATATTTTTATTTGCATGTTGGAAGGAATGAACGGACACCCAGAGCCCCTGAGCTTCCATACAGGCAGGGATCCCAGCACTTAAGAGGCACCCTAATGGATATGGTACTGCGTCCTACAGACTTTCCTCTCCCCCTCTTGACAGAAAGTTTAAGTACTTCCAGGTGCTGCTGGATCAAGTAAAGCTGGCTGGCATGAGGAGGTGTAACGGCACAAAACCTAAGAAATCTCTTCCTGCAACACTACTCACAGATCATAGACATAGGATGGCTTATGTTGGTAGGGACCCTATAGATCACCCAGCCCCATCCCCTGCCATGGGCTGCCCCCCACCAACTCAGGCTGCCCAGGGCCCTATCCAGCCTGGCCTTGAGCATCTCCAGGAATGGGGGGCATCCACAGCTTCTCTGGGCAGCCTGTGCCAACGCCTCATTGCCTGCTGAGTAAATAATTTCCTCCTAATATCCCACATAAATCTCCTCTCTTCTAGTTTAAAACCATTCCTCCTTGTCATATCACTATCAAATGGTATAAAAATTCAGTCAAGAATTAGTTCTGTACACTTCAAAGAGCAGCAAAGAACAATTAAAATCATGTAAGCAATTGCCTCAACATCCAGAAATGGTGAGTCTAGCATATGATCCTGCTCTACTGATAATTCTGTAGAGCTGGATAATAGCTCTCATGCACCAAGGTTCCCTGGATTGGATACGACTGGTACCATACCTGCCTCACCCTGCCCTGCCCTACCTCCCCATAGAAGTCTGCAGTGCAGAGCCCTCTGCCAGCAGTAGGTTAAGCAGGTGCACTCCATTTCCCCCAGTGAACCTAGCAATTCACACAAAAAGAGAGACTGCAGTGCTTTTCACACTGTGAAGCTCAGTATTCAGACCATGTGCCCATGTCTCTGCAAATCAAGAAAGTCGATAACACACTCAATAGCTGATGAGATTTGTTTGCAGAGATTTATTTATAGCCAAGACTCTATCTATCCCCTCCCAGCTTCCACAGCAGTTCCACAGCTGGGAGTGCCAAGGGAAAACATAACATCCTGCAGTGATGCTTTTTGCTCCCATTAGGAGAGCCTTACAAAGAGATTACCATTTCAACTTTGGGTTTGTTTTGCCTTTCCAGTATGCTACCAGGTTACCTATTAAGGTAGTTGTGAGCCGCACCTGCAGCTGACAAGGACGCTCCAAAGGCCACAGATTACTTTTACCCCATTAAGGTAATTGCTTTGGTGAGAGAAAATTATTACCTGTGTATTTCCTGTTGGGCTCTCTGCAGAGATAAGACGGCTGAACGAATTTCCTTCAGGTGATTCATTTCTTTCCCACACTGAGTGCACAGACTACCAAACCCTGTGGCAAAGTATCGAGAGACAATGATGGCGGTGGTGACAAAACAAACCAGGCTCATCTAGCAATTAGCTGACTGCAGTCAAATCATCACAGTCAAGAGGTATCCTTTCAGAAGGAGACATGGAGAAAAAGGGACAGATGACAGAATCGTCTCCCCTTGGTAGGGGTCCTGTGGAACTTGTCTGGGGGCCCTTTCAATTTCTCAGGCAAGTCTTTTACAGCAGCTTCCCCAGCTAAGAGGAGTGGAATGGAGGACTTGCATCTGACCCCATCTCTGAAGTACTCACGGTTATTTCCAACAAAGACTGAGAAAGGGGAACAAAGAATGAAACATGCTTCCTGTGTGCTGGAATTTCAGTGTATTTTTCCAGTGTGTTTGTCCCAGGCCCTTATGGCATGGACATCATAAGGCAGGAAGAGGAGTAGAAGTGCATAAGGAAAACACAACAGCAGAACATTCTCCGTGTTTGCCTGTGGGCTATGGATCTGCACTGTTAACCAGGTTGGAAAATGTTCAAGAGCTGGCTCAAGGAATAAGATACCAAAGGAAGAAGAACATGAAAGTTTGACCCACTGATACCTAGATACTTGCCATCATCATCTGACAGCTCTTGTACAGACTCCGGTGTTGAACAGCTGCTCTCTGTATTCTGGCTGTGGTTGGATGGCTGATCACTTGTTTTACGACGTCTGCAGTCTTTGGTAGA